TCAATGTAGATGTTATTATTTTTACCTTATATTGAGAGAGACTACAAATGCATCGGATACAAAGTATCTGTGGTATCAACGAAGCCTAAATAATCCCTGATCTAATGTCGTTTACTCAAGGCTGTGGGGCAAGTATCTCAAGAAACTTTAATTCCTTGATACACAATGATTCGTTAATTCGCAACCAGGATAGGCATAACCGGATACATTCCGAGTCGAGAAGATACTGTGATGTAATGCGCGCTGAACAGACCAGGAGGCTTCCAGACCATATTGTTGCAAATATCACGTCTATTTCATGAGATTACGCCAATAAACCCATACAGGATACGTTTATCATGGCCCCTCATGAAACTTTTCTGAGAGCGCAACGCGTACCTCGCACTCGAGAGTACCCATAAGAACCGCGTGACCTAAAGTAACCAATCGCGCATCAAAAACTCCCTTCGCACATTCTTATTTCATCAAGAAACGGGAAACAGGGCCATTACGCGTAGTCTTAAATTTAGCAACACGCGTAAACCCTTATCGGACTTCATTGTCTGCAGTAATGCTAGAGGTTACTTTGTAGCATCATGTTTGCGCTGTCGCGCGCTCAGTTATTGGGCAAAATTGCACCATGTGAGGTCACACCTAGTTACGCGGGCTATCATCATGGGGCCGTTTGAGCGGGGGAAGTCTATCACCGTGCGACCGGACGCAGCCATTGTATCTCGCGTCATTAGACGGACCAGGCAATAATAGAGTCAGATTGATTATAGATATTAGATAGTATTAACTGTTCAACCATGTTTTACCCTCGCTAAATTGACAAAGTATTTCAAGTATGGGCCCACTTTTTCACTCTAACAAGCTATAAACCAGTAATATTCGCCCCTTTGCTCACATGACATCTGACCGACCAATCAGAGCCAAGATCTACCCCCACATGACTGGTCCAACCTATGAAACAAAACTAGGTTTGAATGACAGCCGAGATACCCTTATCTCGTTACCTTGTTAAATCCTAATATGATAAACTCCTATTGTATCAAGATTTAGACTACCTGGGTGGACCTAATTTGGTGAAAATTTTTAAAGGAGCTGTATGTGCCAGGTTCGATAGAGATTTGATTGTTTGATTGAGTGTCAAGTAAGATCAAATGTAACTCTAAGGTTTTGTTGATCTCATTATCTTTACAAGAAGGTCAAGCTAGCTGTAATTACTAACTTATCGACAGTTGTTATCACCATCTTACTATATATAAAGCGAGACGATATATATATATATATATCTGTGCCATTTTACTGACACCACGGCATCAACTTTAACGCGACTTTCCGCAAAAACCGTAAAAGATATACAACTGAAACTTTTTTAGCTGGGTCAAATGCTTAAATGGCCTCCAAATCAGTATGAAAAAATAAAAAATTGGCCAAGGAATAATGATTTTAATGCCAAAAATTTGGACCCCCAAGTGGTGTCAAAAACGCCAATTAAATAAGTAATAATTATTTTAGTTTCTTGAGTCTTGACACCATTTTAGGGTTATATCATACGGGTTCCTGCTAGTTATTACTGAATTTGAAAGTATTGTATCCAAAAAGTTAATTATGGTATGTAACCCTATGGTATAAGTTATGTAACACCACGATTCGTGGTAAACAAATATGCAAATAGACCCAAATATTTAAATGCAACAAATATGTATAGCACTTGGTACTTCTTAAGTGACCGCACACAGTGTGTTGTGTTGGACGGGATGTCATCACTTGCTGCAGCAATCATAAGCGGAGTGCCACAGGGTACAGTTTTGGGCCCGCTGCTTTTCATTTTGTTCATTAATGACATGAAGCTGTGCATCACAGGATGTGTCATTAGATTCTTTGCTGACGATACACGGATTTTGAGGCACATCTATACACTTGAAGATGCAAGTATACTGCAAAATGATCTCAACTCTGTCATCGACTGGGCAAGATGCAATAACATGTCATTGCATGAGGATAAATTTGAGATACTCGTGCACAAACACTGTCCCCGAAACAGCTTGCAAGACCTCCCGTTTGCCATCCTGACGCAAACTTATCAAGTTTCGCATGGTAACATAATGTACCCTACGGATGCAGTCAAAGACCTGGGGGTTTTGATCTCGGCGGATTTGTCTTGGAGCTCACATGTTACTATGATAGCAGATCGTGCCCGTAAAGTTGCCTCTTGGGTTCTGAGCGCTTTTAGATCGAGAAACAAGATCACTATGCTGACCCTCTACAAGTCATTAGTCAGAAGCCATCTCGAGTACTGTTGTCCCCTCTGGAATTCAACTAAGCAAGCTGATATCGCTGAGCTAGAGGGAGTACAACGTACATTTACGTCCAAAATACATGGTGTGCAACATCTGAACTATTGGCAGAGACTGAAGGCCTTAAAATTGATGTCACTTCAACGGAGGAGAGAACGTTACACTATCATTCATATGTGGAAGATCCTACACAAGAAGTGTCCTAATGACGTCAACGTTAAGTTTACAGATACACTCCGTTATGGCCAGAAAGCAGTAGTCCCTAGCTTGTCAACGTCCAGTAGCCAAAGGAATCAATCGATCTTTGACAGCTCATTTGTAGTGATGGGGCCTCGATTGTGGAACATCATTCCCGCAAACCTGCACCTTATCGAGGACCCCCTACGTTTCAAGTCATTGTTGACGGAGTTTGTTACATCTATTCCGGACGAACCTCCTGTTACTGGATATTGTTGCCAGAACGGGAATTCGTTATTGAACTGGAGCGCAGAAAAGACAGCAACTTCGCTGCACGGGTGGTCAGCCGTTCTGATGACCCGATAGAGGATCTATGAAGCAACCCCAAGTAACCCAAGTAAGTAACTTTTAATCTTATCAACACAAGATAGTATAACAGAACTGATAATATAACATTCATCATGACAGGTGTATATACGAAATTTTAACCTTTATCGTAGATAAAAGTTAAAATGATAACAAATGTTTACAAGTACCTCAAGTACATTTAACAAAAGTTATAAACAAGAGGCGATTATATTACGATTATATTACGCCTTAAAATGTTCTTGGACCTACATTAAATGCACACGGACTCTTCACCAATGGTCAATAACATTCTTAATGTAACCTCTTTTATCATATAAACCACGCCTAATCCATAATGAACATAATACCAGTTTTTTCAATCAAATTACACAATTTAAAGGAGTACGGGGGGTTTTATGCAATCTCTTATCGGAGGAGTATGGAATGTTTTGAAGAATGTAGTATGTACTAAGCACCGCATAATTATACCTGTGTTCATATTCAGCTAAACAGGGACCAGTTAGTACGTTGTAATTACTCATGTGTACTAATTACCAAACTGACTCAACTTTCTCACGCAATACCTGCCCCCTTCCTGGGCCATGCTATGCAGTTTTATTATCGCTGATTTAATTGGAGTCATGTCAATTAAGTCCTGCTCAATTAACTCCATCACAGTTCTCGAACAAAAAGAAGCATACTGTACACAATCCATCGTGTTGGAACTCCCTTACAATACCCTAGAAGTAACCACAAGATGGGGATTGGCTCGAGATCCGGGTTAATAAACCCTGATTTTCAGTAAATTAAACTGTAATGGCAGCAAGTTGTAGCTATTTGTGGACGAAGCTTGCACCCCTGCAACTCGTAATCTGATTTGTACAGCACTATGGACACTGCTTCCCTATCAGAAATACCGTGCTACTTAGACAGGATAATGCTGGAATTTTACTAAATTCCGCGGTGTTTACTCTTGTGGAGAGTAGTGATTGGGGGCTGAAGTTGGGCTGATGTGTTTTTAGTTGGTTCTGTTCCGTTAAATGGTGGTCTAATATGGTTCTAATTTCATAAGTAGAATTAAGCGTAATTTGAAATTCTTTAAATTTTTAGTAACTCTTCAGTTTCCAAAACATGGTCCATCGGAAGCATTGTAAACCTTATCTGAAATCGAATTACGATGCAACAATTGTCAGATCAAGATCACGTGACGGCTGATTGAAATGTGTCCAATCGGAGCACTAGAACCTGTCACAGGACCCTTGTAAGTGAGGATTGTCCAATAAGAGTGGTACATTCCACCACGTGACTTCTAAACGACCAATCAGGTTTGAGTATTTTAACACGTGGCCAGGTGGTAGAGGTTAAGTTGTTTGAAGAAGGCACGGTTCTCTCCCGAGTCCCGACCACCTTTTAGGGCTTCATCTTGGGACTTGTGAAGCGATAAATGAAAGTTGTGACTTGTGGAAAATTATGAATCAGTCCGAATTGTTAGAAAACCGTTTCATTTAGAAATCAATGGATAACACCGACCTAATAAACTATCCGTGAACATTTGTTGCGCGAGAATAACGTTTTTGGGAAAACAGAAAGACGTGAATATGTTCAAGAAAATAGAGGGCGTTTGTTCGGTTATTTGTATGATCGGTCACAAAACAGTAACCGGTGCATATTGCAAGTGTGGTTGTATCTGAAAACTGATAGGTAGTTAGTAAGTCATGAAGAAAGCAGGTAAACTCTGCAAGCAATAACAACAGATTGGTAGTTAATGAAATGATATCTCAAATTTTATATAATTACAATAGCACGTACTCAAGTAACTAATCATATTTTCAGATCATTTCATTTTTTATTCACCGCTTTTCGTGCTGTAGAGACTAAAGGGTCTTAACAATGATTTAAAGAAATTAGGACGATAATAAATTTTCAAACAGCACAATGCTTCCTTCAGAGTAAGTTTGGCTAATGAGCACTTAAACGAAATAGTCTAGCAGTCGTTAGAAAACCGCTTTAAAAATACTTAATCTAATTTACTTTACCATAGATATATAGATAAACTACTTATTTGTGGGTGGCGTCTAGATAAATTACTATATATTACTAACATAACGCTTGATGTAAATCAAATTAAGTATAAAGAGGACCTCCAGATACAAATTGTGTTTGTTTAACATTTCCCTATTTCAGGAAGTTTTGTTTTGGTTGTGTTGTGATTTGTGCGTTATGGAGTTAGCACAAGTTATCGTTTTCTTGCTCTTTTATCCCTTAAGGCAAGGTATACAACATAATATATTACCCTTATAGCATTAGTTCAGTATATTGCACGGAAATGTTTCAAATGTTTCAGTATCTGTTTCTGTCTTGTTTGGATATGTTGCTTTTATGCTTCATCCCAAGACCGAAGATAGGAATGTTCAACGTTCGACTGTAAATACCAGAGTAACAATTCTATAAAAATTTGGCCTTTGTAACAAATTTCTAGTTCTCCAGCAGTGAGATACCACCATTCCATCAGGAGCACCCACAACCTATACATCAGGAGCCTATACATCAGGAGCCTACACATCAGGCGAGCCCAGAAGGACGGGCAATACTCATCCCCCGACAGGAAGTTGGACGTATACGACTAGTCCAGTACCATTGACCACCACAGAGGAGGTGGGGAGGACAACTTATCCACCCTCCAGCGAACCTTGGTACCTTTCTGACGATGAAGGTACGTGCACTTTTAGTAGATCTCATCTGAAGGAGAGTGTCAATTTTAAAGAAACATCAAATCTAAGTTATTATAGTAATGATTTAAATATAAGTTATTATAGTAATAATTTAAATATAAGTTATTATAGTAATAATTCAAATCTAAGTTATTATAGTAATAATTTAAATATAAGTTATTATTAGGCTATCCATTATCGGTATGAGATTTTTTATCTAGATAAACAGATAAAGATTTAGGTTTTATCGAGATAAAACCGATAAAACCGATAATTTTCTGCTGAAGGCCAAAGCCAAAATGTTTTCCAAATGTCACAAAAACTATTTTCGAGCTTTATGACTGTTTTACCAGTAATCTTGGTAAAGTACCACTTCCTTTCTTTTGAAAATACTAGAGCATCAGTTTTCTTCTCCGGGGAACAGTTATGCACCAATTCTCTTTAAAATACTAGAGCATCAGTTTTCTTATCCTAAGAACAGGGGTGAACATTCTCCAGAAAACAGTATAGCGCTAGTTTCCTTCCCCTAAGAACAGTAGTGCACCAGTTCTCTTCAAAACAGTAGACCAACGGTTTTCTTCTCCTAAGAACAGTAGTGTACCAGTTCTCTTCAAAACAGTAGACCGCCGGTTTCCTTCTCCTGAGAACAGTAACGCACTATTTCTCTTCAAAACAGTAGACCAACGGTTTCCTTATCCTGAGAACAGTAGTGTACTACCAGTTCTCTTCAAAACAGTAAAGCATTTAAAGTGATTCAGTGAACCGTTTCCTTATCCTGTGGATAACTTGGAGCAACAGATTCCTTCTCTTGAAGACAATGTTTCACCCCCAGAACACGTCCGGAATTCAATTGAGTGCCCTGCCGGTATTTTTGACTTCTGTTAACAGTACCATGCTTGTGCCCGTCTCCAGAATGGTTGTAAGGTAAAACGCCAGCACCCTCTAGAGAACAATGTCAATAACCTTCTCTGGATTTCTGCAGTTCATACAGTTCTACAGGTATACAAATGTAAATAAACCTCTTAAGCTCACATCCAAGTAAACTACCCTTTCTATCATACTAGAAGACATTTGGGACTGTTTCTTGGATAACTTGGGAACAGAGAGAGGCAAAACTACTAATATTTCTTTAAAATTTCACTGTATTGTGGCAGTATTTTCGGTAATTTCTAGTGAATTTTTATACCGATAAAAATATATTTTATCTAGATAAACAGATAACTTTTTTTAACGAATTATCGGAGATAATTATCGGTTACGATTATCGGAGTGGATAGCCTAGTTATTATAGTAATAATTCAAATCTAAGTTATTATAGTAATAATTCAAATCTAAGTTATTATAGTAATAATTTAAATATAAGTTATTATAGTAATAATTCAAATCTAAGTTATTATAGTAATAATTCAAATCTACAATCTTGAAGTTAAAGTAATAACGATAATATATGCATGAAATCTACCAACAAACAGAAATAGTGACGGACTGGGTCGAGGTAAATTGGGATACGTGGAATAGTGAGGATGCACATGATGCTTTTGATGATGAAATAAACACTTCCTTTACCCTGGATCCTATTATTTATGGGAATGTGGTCAAACTGAATGCTGTGTTCTATTGGCCGACGGTAAGCACTACAATTCTCTGTTTGATATTGAACACAAATATAAAATAAAGGTCCTTCGATCGACAATTTGATGTTATCTTATGTGCATATTATATGCAATCCATGTCATGCATAATTTATGCATAATACATGCATGTATTTGTGGAAATATGACCACCTGAACCGCTGTCCAGGTTAACGTGAAAGGTGTCCGAATAGTGGTTGACCAGCGGACAGATGAGGACACCATAACAGTGGAATTGGACCCCGACTTCACAGACTTGTTTCACAGCACACTATACCCCAGAACAGTATGTCTCCTTGTGTCCAGTAACCCATCTTGGAAGGGAGTTAAAACACTAGAGTACAAGTGTGACAGGGTCTCTGCAACCCGGGTGTGGATTATATTTAAGCATCAAGGTGGACCCGACACGGTGGTTTATGATGTTTACATGTACGGTTACTCCTCCAGACCTGAAGTCAATATGTACAGAAAGTTTGGCAGCGAGGGGCCCTCGGAGGAGGCTTGGGTTCTTGCTGACGATGAAGGTTGGTAGATCTTTAAGTTCCTTATATTAACAAGAGAAACTAGAGGTAGTTGCCCATTGCCCAACTTAACGTTTTAGGAGCCCCCTAAGGATTGACCTCACGAAACTTTACGTTGGGACTGGGCAGCTACCGTTCGCGTTAGTTCAACTTGTTGACTACTTTGCATAAAACGAATCTTTAATTTGAAGCTTTGATTACCAAAAAGATGATGCTTAAAAATCGGGCAATAACTGGAATGTAACTAGTATATCGTAGGCAAATTTGCTAGATATTACAATATCTAATAAACTGATGAAAACATTTCACAAAACAGAAATAGTGACAGACTGGGTGAAGTTTAGATGGGGAGACTGGAATGAAAAAGATGCATACAGGGCCTTTGATGACAATATGGAGACATCGATTACCCTGGAGGCTGCTATTCACAGACGAGTGGCAAAACTGTACGCAGTTTTCTACTATCAGGTTAGCCCTATAATATTGGACATTTAATATAAACATAAGATAAATGTCGTGGGTGTAATTGACGATCTTTCATTTGGCTCTTCAGCACTTTTCTGGTAGATGTGATTCAAATCGACACATTTCCTGATTTGTCTTCAACCTTAACCACTGTTCAGGTGAACGTGAATGGTGTCCGAATAGTGGTTGACCAGTGGACGGATGAAGACACCATAACAGTAGAAATAGACCCAGAATTCACAGACTTCACAGCGACACCCAGACCCAGGACAGTCTGCCCACTGAAGGACAGTGTCTCTGAGTCCGGACTAAAACAGGTCCGTTTCAAGTGTGACCGGATCACTACAGCACGGGTATGGGTGATATTCGAGATACCTGGAGGACACAGCACTGTTGTTCACGATGTTTACATGTACGGTAACTCTTTGTCCGAGTATGTGACTTATGAAAAAGAGGAGGAGGGTACGGAATTTGTTACGGGCATGGAAGAGATAACGACAAAATATTGGATGAGAACACTGAGTAGCACTTCCTACAGCCAATGGACGTCCGGTAAGGACAACTCAGAATCCACGGAGAGCGTCACCTCAGGACCTACAACATCATGGCCATACTTCCATTTCTCGGATGTTTTCTCCCTTTTCCAGAAAGAAGATCATAATGATTATTTCACGTGGCAGCCTGACTTCGAGGACTTCATTCCGTATGAGAAACTTGTGGAACAGCAGGAGAAAAAAGTAGAAAAGCAATTAAAATCAGAAGGAGAAGGAGGAGAAGAGGGAGAAGAGGAGGAAGCAGATAAAGGATCAAACGTGCTCGGATTCCTGACGAACACCGGATATTTGGACTATGTGATGACAGAGAACAAAGTTGAGGATAAGGTTAATGAAGCAAAGAAAACTGCCAAGAAGGATAGTGATAAAAAGAAAGATACAGGGCTTCTTGTTGATAGTAACGACGTCAAAAACTCGATTAAAGTTTTCCAAAAGTTCAACGGTTTTCCGGAGACGGGTACGCTTGACAGGGACATTCTGGAGTTTGTGAAGAAGCCGAGATGTGGGAACCATGATGTTGAGTACACGGAGGAGGAGGTGAAACAGGAAGCCTTACTTTGTGATACGGCTTTTTCTGGATCTAAGCCAGTTCAGGTCCGTTCAGTTGATTTTTTTACTTAGATTTTTTCCTCAAGGATTTTTGAAGTGCTATATTTTCCCATTTCTGATCAATCACCATTCACCATGAATTATACAACAGATAATTTATTTCAGACAACTAATTTCGACTGTGAAGGTTTCAATGGAGCTGGTTCTGAGACCAAATGTGTTAACCTCCCAGCAGTCTCAAAAACAGGCTTCATAGAAGAAGGAGTTCCTTACACCATTGAAATTGATCTGCAGTTCAAGCCTCAGGAGGGTGGATCTTGGGAGGATCTGAAGAATAAATTTCATATATTTTTCAACTACGATAGTATCGATGAACTGAAATTTCTTGACAGAATAAACTTGTTTGCAGAGGATGACAAGTTTGGTTTCTTGTATGATAAAAAGAAAGCTGGAAAAGACAAGACCTTAGGTGATTACGATATGACAAAAACTCAAATTGCAAGAAGAGAATTCAAAATAAGGATCGACGTAGAGAAGAATAAGGAGGCTTTCTTGCTGATAAACGGAAATGACGTTGGTAAAATCAAGTACAAACGTCGCCTGAAGCCTTCAGTCCGCTTGCAATGGCAAGACAAAATACCCGGAATAATAACCGCCAGGATCTGCAAAAGACCCGAAACGGTTGAAGTTAGCCGCACAAAGCGCTCAGCCTCATCCCACATCTGGGGAGACAACCTCATCACATTCAACTTCCAGAACTACAGCTCATCGTTAGGAGAAAAGGACACCAGGAAAGGTGTGATGGACGCTCTCAAAATTCTTGGAACTTCCGCAAAGCTGGAGTTTAAAGAGATATCCGCCCTCGATTCAGCCATGGTAACGTACATGTTTATCAAGGGAAGACACGCGGATGGGACGACTTTCAGCGGAGCTGGGATTGAGAAAGCCCACGCTTTCAGTCCAGTCCACAGTGAGGTTCATTTCAATGACTTTGAGAAGTTCACTCTAGAGATGGAGGACCGGGCTACCAGTATGTTTTATGTGGCTCTACACGAGACTGGACACGCTTTAGGGATGAAACACTCCGCGTACAAGTGAGCCAAGCTGGGTAACGTGGGAAATGTTGTTTTGTTGTCTTGTTACATTTAACTGGTAGAAGCATGTGGTTATACATTGAGAATAACAAAAGTGAATGGTAAATTAATGGTAATGTAAGGTGTAACGGTGTAACACAACACATTTCCACAGGGACGCGGTGATGGCAGCGGGCTATGTCCCTTTGAAGGCGTATCAGACAAACTCGTTACACCGGACAGATAAACAAGTGTTACACGCTAGCTACCTCGGGGATATCCCTGAACAAGGTGATAAGACTGAAGATATCGGTGATAAGAGTGATAAGAGTGCAGAATACAGCTCATCTTTTACTTTAAAATTTGCTATCTATTGTTTTTAATACGATATAATATGCTATATTTTCTCCTATTTAAATATTATCATGTAGTTTAATTTAAAATTTTAAAACTCTGATCCACTCATTTTAGCGAAAGTGATTGAACTGGACCCTACCAAAAGAATAATCCCTGATCCAGACTTGTACCTACCAAAGTTTCCACTACCCAGGGATTGCTTCGACAAGATAGACGCAGCATTTACCTTTGGGCCCACCTTGTACCTTATATCCAACACATTCATCTGGCAGTATCAGAAAGAGGGAGCTGGATATAAGATGATAGGAGGCCCTCAGGGAGTCTCCAATGTCTTGGCCGGCTGGAATCATATTACCAGGGCGGCTTTCACAGGTTGGTTCCGTGATCCCGAGTATCATTGTTTATCTGATAGTGCCATTGGGAGTGATTTTAAATTTCATTCTCACTAATTTATATGATTTTTATCCCTCAAATTACTAATTGATTTGTCGTTTTCTGCAAAGGTCTCATTTAGATAGAAACTAGATCATGAACCAACAATTATAAGTAAAACTAACGGTTAAAATTATATAAAATTCAAAACGAATGATCAATCCTAACTCTTCACTCTTTCCGAAGCTCCACAAAAATGTGTATTCACTGTATTGTATAATTGTCATTGTATAAATGTAATTGTATAAATAAAATAAGTAGTATAATTAACACTGACATTTCAGTTGGAGACAAGCTCTACATTCTCGGAGACGGAGTGGCACACAGATACTCCAGATACAGTACAATTTGGGTGCTAAAAACAGTATCCACAGTTGACGAGCTGCTCAACAGCAAGAAATCTTCCCACAATTTCGGAGCCGTTAAATCAGCCTTTTCTCTCCAGCTCGATGAGGGTGTAGTCCAGACCACGTTAGGTAGGAAGAAGTGCGGGTTCTGAGGTTCAGCCACATTTCTGATAACTGTCTGGAAAACAAGCCTGATTATTACTAATTATTCTCATGACGTTTTTCTGGTATGATTCAAACATAATGGTTTACAAATCACGTGACAATTTGTAACAGTCGCTGGATGACCACGTGACCAGGTTTCTGTCGGCCATCTCCAGTAACTCAATTTCTAATCTGACTTCTCCAAATTATCAACAGTAACAGGAACACGGGAGTACTACAAGATCACGTGGAAAAACAGCAATAAGGTTGCCACAGCTGAATGGTTTCAGGACAGTTCTGGTACTGAATTACTTGGTAAGATAAAGGGTTGAATGAGGAATATTCCTACAGACTAAGATCGTTATCGAGTTAGGTTTTGGAAATGCTACACTGACAGCTACAATCGTTGACCAGCATATATCTTGCAAAATGTTGCTCATTCAGATTAACTAATTAAACTGATCAAGTGATCAAGAGCACGTCATATTTTCTATTTTCACTGCATGGAACTTTCTGATACTGACTGTTTACCAGGGAAAACGTACGGGTTGACAGAGTTTAATGCAGCTACCACCCATGAAAGGGAGAAGAAGGGGGCGAAGTTCACTGAAGTTATGAAGTTTGATGGAAAGGTACACTTAATTATAGATTCTAAATTGTTATAGAATTATCAATCATAGGAATCTCGCAGTTCCGAGCACTCAATTCTAAATTTTCACATAATATTTCAATCACAATTCGAACAAGTTATGATCGTTGAATTTGTTCATCTTAAAAGTGTAATTCAACCTGTTGTTTCAGTACGTGAAGTCAGTAAAAGTATACCACAATTCTGGAGAAGTTGTTCGTAAGAAGGACCCATACTTTGAGATCCCTGTAGCCTTCCAAATACCTAAATGGTGTGCTCCCAAGCTTAACGGATAATGTGTGCTACTGGAGATTGTTGTCAGATCATGTTTTAGAGATTATCACATTATCAACGAACACTGAAAAATTCAAGTTATCATATTATCATGTCAGGATATAACACATACAAGCATTTATTTGTTCCTGAACAAGCTATTTTGATATTTATCGGTGCTGCTAACCATGTTGTTGGAATTATACCCATTAAAGGCGTCAGGCAATGATTTACTACAATTTTACAATACCGGGTAGCCACTTTACCACCTTTTAGACAATTCACCCGTGCATTAAACCATCAACAAGTCGACATGTCACGTGACATTCAAGCCGCTGATTGGTCAACCATATTCTGTTCTCGCTTCTCATTGGTTGGAAGGAACACGGAATATGTTCGCACGAGATCCCCGCATTCACGCTGTTTTGAAATCACTCCTGATTTATTGACTCACACAATGGATTTGAGCAGCGGTTGAGTACTTATAATGGACATGCTGGTTTTACTCAGACAATAAAAGGGAGTTATTAACCGAATGGTTTGTTGAATTGAATCACTTTTAACAGTAATTCTTGTTTAAATGTGACTATTTTAATAACTCAGTAACACCATTACTTTAATAACTCAGTAGCACCATTACTTCTTCAATGTCATTCTTTTTAGGATATGCATCATGCATGATGAAGGATGAGTTAGCAATTTAAAGCCTTGCATCTTTTAAAACTAAACATACACTTTTAATGTGCTGTATGAAAATTATGCCATAAAATTACGAATTATTACATTTAAAGTTGAAGTGAAGTATTTCATTTCCGCCGACAAAATTCGGACTTCTGTCCCAAAGGAGAATTATAACACACTTTACCGTAACACGTGACAACATCGACCAATCAGATTAACCCAGCAAATCTGCACGTGCAATAATAGCTCCTTCATATCCTTGTAGCTCGATAAATACCGCTTTAAAGCGGCTGAATAACCATGTTATTACTTGAACAGCTAATCTTAGAGCCGTATAATTGATCCATTAAACTGTGGATCAAGGTTATTTAGAGGTATGTTGTGGTATGTAGGGACAAAAGCTCTTAAACATTCAAATGAAGCTCAGTATTTTAGATGTAAATATTTATGAGCTTAATATTAAGATTTGTCTGGTAACGATTTACATACAATAAGAATAATACAACTAATTTATAAGATCCGCGTGGTCCAATCAGAAAAGCTGGGTACTTTAGATCGTTCATGGTTTACCAATGAGATGGAATGCTAAATACTTGAATATATCTTGCTCATCACAAATTTGGTGAGTTAAGCAGTACTTCACTGGTGGTTAAAAGCTTGTAACTGAGACTCTGAGATCAGCTTTACAGCTTATTGGTTATTGTAAATAATACTATTACTCCATACTGGTAGTGGTAGTACTGCCTCCGATAACAGCCTCATCACCTGAAATTGTGATATTTCTAAAAGACTCTGCTCTTGAGATTGAGATGGCGACGAAGTTATGTTGTCGAGCTGCTTTACTTTAAATTTGATGAAGATAAGCAGTAATATCTCGACAAATGCAGCCAATAATATAAGGGTAGGAAGTGCCAAAAACCTTAATGTTAAATTGTGATAGAACAGCTGAGTTCTTGAACCATAAACTAGCTAACTTACAATTTTGTGACCATGATTGCGATGACTTTGGGGTTACTTCACATGATAAAGTAGCAATATTTTTTTCAAACCCTCCCAAGTAAAGCTACTGAAGTCACGTGGTATCACCAGTCACGTGGTATCACCAGTCACGTGGTATCACCAGTCACGTGGTATCACCAGTCACGTGGTATCACCAGTCACGTGGTATCACCAGTCACGTGGTATCACCAGTCACGTGGTATCACCAGTCACGGGTATCACCAGTCACGTGGTATCACCAGTCACGTGGTATCACCAGTCACGTGGTATCACCAGTCACGTGGTATCACCAGTCACGTGGTATCACCAGTCACGTGGTATCACCAGTCACGTGGTATCACCAGTCACGTGGTATCACCAGTCACGTGGTATCACCAGTCACGTGGTATCACCAGTCACGTGGTATCACCAGTCACGTGGTATCACCAGTCACGTGGTATCACCAGTCACGTGGTATCACCAGTCACGTGGTATCACCAGTCACGTGGTATCACCAGTCACGTGGTATCACCAGTCACGTGGTATCACCAGTCACGTGGTATCACCAGTCACGTGGTATCACCAGTCACGTGGTATCACCAGTCACGTGGTATCACCAGTCACGTGGTATCACCAGTCACGTGGTATCACCAGTCACGTGGTATCACCAGTCACGTGGTATCACCAGTCACGTGGTATCACCAGTCACGTGGTATCACCAGTCACGTGGTATCACCAGTCACGTGGTATCACTTACCAAAGAATTTGAGAGCCCTGGCGCTACATAATACCCAAGCTTGATAACACCAGGTAATTCCATTAGAGTACAAGAACTCAAATCACCCCCAAAAACTTGCTAAAAGCTTCGTTAAAATAACTTTCTCCCACTCCACAGGACAAAAACTCCTTCATAAACAACTCCTTTCATATCCAGTTCACTCCCACCATGGCTCCAGGGAAAACATCTAATTATACCCCCAGACTACCACGCTGTCACGTGACTCGGAATACTGGCCTCTGATTGGATGCCTTAAGTAGGGGGGTGGCTGGAGATTGGCCCAGGTTTTACCACGTTAAAAAGTAGTAAAAACGCAGATTTCTGGTAATGGAAAGGGTTACTTAGCAGTAGTAGCGGTGGCCTCTCTCTCAAGGTGGGTGATTCTTACAATATCTCCGTAGATCAGACCTTACTGTGGACACAAAGAGAAATCTGTTATTTGAGACTTGAGTACTGCTACAAATATAGAAATATTTACTTTGAGCACTATAAGTTGAGTCACTGTAAAGGGACTGTGCTTGTGATTGGAGAGGTGCAATGTGTGGGCCTCTTTCTTGCTTGGTACTTTCAGCTAAATCTGACTTTGAGCACACCTTGCCCTTCTTATGTGACCGCAATTTCATGAGATACTGTGTGCTACATGTGCGGAAGATGTGTAGAAAGTTAAAATACTGAACTGTGGTTTTATTTGCACTTTTAAATTAAATCTTTTATAAAATTCTATTCTTCTACCAGACGACAAGATACAGTTTCAAGACGATCAAAAGAAATGTATCAATAATGTATTGTTTTATAGAATGTATCACAATGCTACTTTGATGTTAAAACATGATATCTGTATTCAGAACTCAATTAATTGTGATTTGAATGACAAGAGGGCTACAAAGAGAGATGCTGATTGATACTAAGCAGTACTGAACAGTACTCAGGAATAATGCTCACTTACATTTAGAGTGCAAATCATCCGTCATCGTGGGTTAAAAAGGGTTCATTTGTCCTCAAAGTTCCGACCCTTTTATCAATTATTAGTATTCTAATCTTTTGTCAATTATTAGTACTCTAACCATTGATCAAGTGGGTATAAACGGACGATTTTTCTTGTATTTCTCACCCCCGGATTACTTTCTGACACTGAAAAACAAATCTTGTATCACCAGTCACGGCCATCGTGTACGAGAAGAATAAAAATAAAATCTTTAATCTCCATCTCAGAAAAACTATGAAAGTTTAATGTTTTTCAAACAAAAACCACTGTACTCAGCGGTCTCCGCCCCAGTAATTAGCGTTCACCACAACCATTACTACTCCGATTAGTACAAGCAGTTGGGTAAGCAGCACTGAAGACCACCCAGGGGGAGCAGCCCTATGATATGCAATCCCTGGTGGGCTGCTGCTGCTGATTTGATTAAAACAGAACAAACAAATGTTCAGCTTCTGAATTGTAAATGAGCAATTAAGATATCGGGGATTATTTTTGTGGGAATTTTGAATGCGAGGTGCTGATAAAATTAAGTTTGAATGAGAAGGCCTGTTTTTTAACATAGACACCAAGTTATTGGGTTTTATCTAATAGTGAGCTCCCAGCGTGACCCTAGTCGGTGGAAAAGCTGATATTTGACGGTCTTGACTTCTTTCTAATCGGGCTTCACTTTAGTGCATGCCATGAACCGGTGTGACCTGGCGAGATCCCAAAGTCTGCCAACACGAGCGGCCAATCATTGACAGCTATTTTCAGGTTCAGCCAATCAGATGCAGAGTTGGAGTCACATGATAAACGCCTCAAGGCATGGCACGTTGTAGAGTTACAGCTGTTTTGCAACACGAATACTGTGCAGTGAGCACTTCACTGGAGACAGCTCATGAATAAAGGGGGTTCAGTCAAATATAAATATAAGTCTCACATCACATAAAGACTTAAAGAGATACAGCATCTAGATCACCAGATATAGAAGTGACGTAGTACTTTCCTGAGATGCTAATCTACAGTATAATCCTGCAGTCTCCTAATGCATGACACAACAGAGCGTTGAAAAGTTTAAAGTACATGATTTTACATGTAATGAAGTATAAAACCCATTACCGAGGAGCTTCACCTCGCTCGCTCGGAATAGTGCCCAATAAAACGTAGTTAAACATACCCAATTAGTCAGCTGAGACGAGACAACCATAAAACGCAGGTAATGGGTAATGCTAATGGGTAATGACTAGACACAATCCTTCAACTTTCAAGTGAGGGAAGCAAGAAACTCGCTCCATCAAGGTTAATATTATATACTATCGGGGGTAAATTCTGTAGTTTTGCAACTGGTTACTCGATAATGGGGGGTGTCTCGCCGATCGTTGACAACTACTTAAGATCTTTACCTGGACAGAGTAAACATGTGTTGGTTGGTAAGGTTGAAGATCCCGGTTATTTCATGTTGAGAGCAAGCACAAAACTGTGTCATGTTTACAGCTTTACAGGGGTTTGGAGCCGGAGATCGCTGAGAGTAAGTAACCTTTCATTCGTCGGGTTTAACAGTGGAAGTCCTGGGGATGTTTGATCATCATTTGTTTAGACTACCCAAATAGTCTGTACACACTGATACACTCAAGATCGGTACTGGCTACTGTTCTGTTAACGATCACGTGAAATGAGCCGACCTGAGTCCTGATTTGACTAAAATCCTGTTTTGGCTTGAGTAATGATCATGTCAACATAGAGACGGAACTTCAATTCTTCAACAAGTCTTAATTTAGATAAAGACATTTCCCGCCTGGTACCACATTGGTACCTAGTTGGCACCTACCAAGGTATCAAGATCTCCCCCTATTTGATAATAGTATTAGTTCTAGATCAAACAGACAAAGTGATATATGGCTAGACGAAGTTCATTTTACTTAAAACCTAGTACATCACATTCTTACAACTACAACATGACAAATTGCTCGAATGAAATAATCAGGACAGGTTGATATAGGTCTGTGACTCATAAGATATGATGTGAATATAATATGTGAGGTTAACAAGGCAGGAGTTTGTTTATATAAAGTAATGTGCATGTACAATACATAGCTCACCACAGAGCAACAATAACATTATGTGTCTTGCTGTGGGAAATGTAAATCATTTCTTTCATATCTTAACTCATTTTAAGTCATTCCAACATAATATCTTAATAGATGATTTAAACTCATTTCCACATTTCCACACCTTAGTCATGAACAGGATTCGTGGACGCAGTATCATCTTAAAGATGAATTTACTGTCATATCATGTATTTGTCAGATGAATTGAATGACTACTATCATCTACAATGTACATTCAACTTCAAGCTAATGTAGTGCGATATTCCATTAACCTAACCTCCAAATTTGTCATAACTACAACAAAACCTCGAATAATTTTTGCTCGTGAGCCGCCAACCACCACCACCAGCGGCTGAAAACACAACAATAACACCAACTGAATCCTCCCAAGAGACCACACTACCCCTCTTGACGGCATAAACACGGTGCTACCTCCACCTCCCCGGCCACTGCCCCTCCAGCCCGGCCACTCCAGCCTGCCAGCTCCTACAGACACTCCGTCTGCACCATCTGGACTATGTGGCTAATACTATTCCCCATGTACTTATTGATACACTGAGTTAGTCAAGCAAGAGTTATCGAGGATCTGAGGCCGGGAGTTGGTTTTTAACACTACTCGACGCGCCGTTACAATCATGACGTTTTAAACTTTTCTTTTGTCAAGATTTAATCATCTGAGAAAAGTGAAGATAAGAATTGAGTCGGGAAGGGACTGAAGACTGCTTGTTACCCCACGTGGCTGTGTCAAGTGGGCGGTTTAGTGAGCTCTCATTGGTTGAAAATATCTTTTCTCCGCTGTCATTGGCTGACGATTCCATAGGATGACTATGCTTGTCACTATTCAAGATGGACGAATTTGTTACAATGTTGCAAAATGAGTTGTGATAAGTAAGTGATACGTACTTGCCCCCTCATCAGGCCGGAATATAAACGGAATTTAATAAGTTTATACTGCATAAATGTAGCAATTTTGCCCGGAGTCCGTGAAATGGTAAGGAGAAAAGTTTAAACCAATCAGAAGAGAGGATCGCTGTTTCTTTTATCTGCTCCACCAATGAGAGACAAGCAGTCAGTGGGTAAGCCAATCAGAGACGAGCTGTCTTTGAGAGTAGCCAATAGGAGAGGAGGTGAGGTCAACCAGGGAGGAGTGCACGTTTTCAATTCTTTCAATTAGAGCACCCACGGTAAATATATTAAAAACCGTTACCTTTTATTAGCTTTGTAATTCAGCAATTGAGTAAGCTTATAGATTCGATCAGTTAAAATGTTCAAAAAGCCGACCATGGAAAAATAGTTATCGTCTCAATTCTAAAGAAGAATATATTTTATATCCAATAAACGATGAGTTGTCAGAAAACACTTTATACGGCCCATATCAACAGTCCATTAACTGACACCTGTCCAATACTCCACCTCTACAATGTTTCTCAAAGATATCACCATATCACGTGATATTCACCATATCACGTGTCCTCTTACGCTGATAATTTGTCGCAAGAGAGTGTGCTCAGTGATCACCATTAGGGGGTTAAGGGGTTATCCAGCTCGACGAAAGAGTGAGAGGTAGTTACACACTTTACTAGTTCACAGTTTACTAGTTCACAGTTAAGGGGTTATCCAGCTCGACGAAAGAGTGAGAGGTAGTTACACACTTTACTAGTTCACAGTTTACTAGTTCACAGTTAAGGGGTTATCCAGCTCGACGAAAGAGTGAGAGGTAGTTACACACTTTACTAGTTCACAGTTTACTAGTTCACAGTTAAGGGGTTATCCAGCTCGACGAAAGAGTGAGAGGTAGTTACACACTTTACTAGTTCACAGTTTACTAGTTCACAGTTAAGGGGTTATCCAGCTCGACGAAAGAGTGAGAGGTAGTTACACACTTTACTAGTTCACAGTTTACTAGTTCACAGTTAAGGGGTTATCCAGCTCGACGAAAGAGTGAGAGGTAGTTACACACTTTACTAGTTCACAGTTTACTAGTTCACAGTTAAGGGGTTATCCAGCTCGACGAAAGAGTGAGAGGTAGTTACACACTTTACTAGTTCACAGTTTACTAGTTCACAGTTAAGGGGTTATCCAGCTCGACGAAAGAGTGAGAGGTAGTTACACACTTTACTAGTTCACAGTTACTAGTTCACAGTTAAGGGGTTATCCAGCTCGACGAAAGAGTGAGAGGTAGTTACACACTTTACTAGTTCACAGTTTACTAGTTCACAGTTAAGGGGTTATCCAGCTCGACGAAAGAGTGAGAGGTAGTTACACACTTTACTAGTTCACAGTTTACTAGTTCACAGTTAAGGGGTTATCCAGCTCGACGAAAGAGTGAGAGGTAGTTACACACTTTACTAGTTCACAGTTACTAGTTCACAGTTAAGGGGTTATCCAGCTCGACGAAAGAGTGAGAGGTAGTTACACACTTTACTAGTTCACAGTTTACTAGTTCACAGTTAAGGGGTTATCCAGCTCGACGAAAGAGTGAGAGGTAGTTACACACTTTACTAGTTCACAGTTTAATATATATATATATTATTATATATATAATAGTGAAGTTAATAGTTTACTACTGGTTAATGGTAAAGTTAGGCGCTAATTGAGGCAAAAATTCAACGACAAATCTGTACATTTATAGCTTAGTTTCTTATCAATCAAGTTATGATTTATAACTTTTGTAATTGAGACTGATTGGTTTTATTTTAAGGCTTACTTTGTCAAATTTTATGGCGGAGAACTGCTCTTAAATTAGCTAAACACTACCCCCGTATTTAAACACGCCAGACGCGACGAAAATTGATTTTATGAAAGAAGATCATTAATATTCGTCTGAGCGTTTATATACCACCAAATGACTTGCCCTCCACCAGTAAAGTTTAAGTTTCAACCCTCTAGTTAATTAGATTTGTACCTTACCTTGTGGAGACCTTACCACCCAAGGGAACACCAAACGCCCACACAGCACAGTGACACCTGCAATAATCCGTCGAATACTCAACTCCACGATGTTCTTTGTCATTTATTATGACTCTGTGAATAATTATGACTGTCTTCGGACATAATTCTGATGTAATTAGGACCCCCGAGGAATTCCATGAAGCAATTAAATATGGATACAAAGTATCATTACATCATTCCACAATGATGTGACTCGCACGCTGTTGGCGGGTGTGTCGCCTGCTTGTTTTAGGAACACGCGACAATGTCATACGAGTTGTCAAACAAAGAATATGAGAGAATTTGAGTGATGATTGTCATCATGCGTGAAAAAATGACGATTGTTTAAAAATTACATTGTTTGAGATTGAAAAAATTGATTAGTGCTTGTTATTTGACAAAGAAATGTAACAATTTTGAGTCTGCTAACTTTTGAGACAATGTTCGCTTATGAAAGTATGAATCAGCAACTATGAATTAGCCGAGGTTGAAAGTATTTTTCTCCAAAAAAGCTGTTACTTTGCTACTTTTAACCGTGATTTAATGTTTTAGGTGATAACTGACAGTACGCTAAACGAAATTTTTACATTCTGCATCAAATTACAAAGCAGTATAAAACTGATCCTGACCACCTACTGGTTGGTAAATGTTGCTGTCGTTCAAAGTTTCCATTCCAAATAACAGCTGAAACCAATACTGCTGTATTTACTTCAGCAGCCCACCCCACACCCCACCCCACACTCAAAATACACTAAAAACACTCTAATAACCACAGCTATCTTTTACACTGTTGATCTTAACAATTGACATGTTACTCAGGCTGCAAGGTGGTGAGGATTGTCTTGTATTGTATTGAGCTCAAGCTGTGTAAATGAACCGTGGGAATAGTGACACAGCCCGGCCCCTCAATTAGTGCTAACAGTTAACACATGCAGCTCTGGTGTAATAATGTGCGGAACTCAGAAAATGTAATTAAAGGAGGAGATCATTTCCGGGTGTGGATTATTGGGAGGGTTTTTAGATTTGGGTAGGTTAATTGTTTCTTAGATCGATCAACAATTATTTATATTAAAACTATGAATGAGTTTTATATCAGGCAACTCACAACAGCGTGGTGGAAAATACTGAAAGACACAAATTAGTGTAACGAGAGGTGGAACGCAGATTATTTGCAATTTCGTTATTTCTAGCGTAGGAAATAAATACACCTGATATGAAACCAGAAAGTTGATCAAATCAAGTAACCAATACGTTACTTTTAATAACAACATTAAAAGTCCGCAAAACATCATTAATCTCCACTGCCTTTAAAACCTATCACATTGTTAAACTCTTTTTGGTAAAAATTTCAACTATTTTAACGTAGAAAACTGTATTAATAGTTATTTCTAAAAACTCAGATTCTTTGAAATCAAGTTGCCGATGGTATCTACCAAGCTTGATTATATCAAAACATTTCCGCATTTAACATAACTACTTAATTAGGAACAAAACATGACACAATTTTAATGGAATTAGTGATGATAACAATATAATGATTAATGATAATAAATCTTAAAATCATGATACATCAATCCATCACGTTAAAAAATAACGAAAGAAAAACTCAAAACTTGGATGCGTCGAAGCTCGAAAAAAGGGGGACATTCACAGCGTGACCAAAAACATTTGCGACAAATAACTTATTAAACTTTTTAAATACGCAACATGAAAATCATCAATTTTTAACACCGGTAAATTAATTGCATTAAATTAATTGCATTGTCTGTTAAACAAACATATTTAGACTCGACTGGACTGCCTTCGAAATCAAAATCAACGGAAAAATTTGGAGAATAATCCTATATCTCAAGATACATTCTCAAGAATCGAACCGTAAACGTCGGTTTCATCAACGATTATTCTCAAACAGTTTTTTGTTTCTTCGTAAAACTGTTTTTTAAGTTCTTAACGATGGTAATTGGGTGGTCTTACATCGTCATAATCTCTATCTGTTCATCAGATCAGAGATTTCATCACGTGTCAATCACGTGTCAACCACGTGCCAATCAATAAACACCGTTTTTACCGTTACAAATAAACATATTTACAGTTAAATAAATAGAATTTTCAGAGTTCGTGAAGTGATCTTTATCTCCTTTCTTTCAGAGAAGAGCGCTTATCTTGAGTGAGTATCTTGTGATCTGGAGCTAAGTCACGTGGTCTGTAGAGATGTCACGTGACTTTGTAGTGAAGGGGAGTTTAACCTCGTCTTCGGTTCCTCTTTGACTTTCTATCTGAAGAAATGGGTACCGTTAATATGAAACTATTAGCGTGATAAAGCACACAAATAACTTTTCTATGTAATATTCCATCTCATCAAATTCAATTTTTGAATTTAGTATTTAGGTTAGAGAACATAGGTTACTGATAGAGAGCATTACGAAACTTAGAAGCAGCAGCTTAGAGAGCTCTATAAAATTAAGAAGTACGAGAACATCCTAATGTAAGCTTCAATGGATGCTTTCGACACTTTAAAGATGGCCTGATTGTTACCGGAAAAGTATTCAATGTGCCAGGTACTTGCAAAGTTATCAGTTTCGGGTTATGCAATGCCTGGTTATTTTTAAAGAGATAATAGACCTTTAAACGTGTTGGAAACTGTGATTATTTAAAATGCTCAGTTTTTTCTTAACCGAAGTTGAATCAGTTTTGACGAGTCGCAGCCCACTGAATTGGGTTACACAAATTTATACTTGTTACAATTTTGAGCAAAACATTGACGCTAAAAGGAAAAACATGCAAAAAGGTTTTATACATACTGATACATATTATGTAAAAAATAGTCATCAATCTTAGAGGCAGCAAAACGGAACTTCCCCATGAATTCTTCGAGTTTTTTAGGATGCCTTTCAGGATTTTACAATAATATGTGCATATTACATAATTAATTACTAAATAATATCAACAAAATATAACTTACTGCTTTGCTGTAAGGGCTCCTCTGATTCGTTCATTTTCTGCCACAAATAGAAGATGATAAGGGTGGTGGAGAGTGGGAAGAGGAAGAACTGCACTGCGGTTACAGATCTTTCTAGAATACTCTTCTTTTTCAGCCTCGTCATTGCCACATCGAAGAAAATTGTGCTGTCTCCTGAAGGAAGGATTGTTAGAGTGGATTTAAGATGGAAACAAATTTGATTATCTATTTTATTTTGGTAAGTTCAAACAAATATTTAAGTCTGATCCTTGATCCGTGAGTTTCAAGCCAATAATAGCTATTGTCTCGTAAGGATCGCCTTTGGTTCGAGGCCAAAATTCTTTAAGTATAATTCTATACAATATCTAACAGACAAAATTATTCACATGACATTAAACATTGCTAGGGTTAAAACACCGAATATATGTGTGAAGAACAACATTTTTCAAGGAAATTACAGTTTCTAACGACTGATAAATCATTTAGGTAAAATTCTTAGGTTTAGGTCGCATTGTATAATATTCATCCCTTTTTGACCCGGAAGAAGCAATCTTATAGTTATACACCAATACATTGTTTGTAGGATCAATAATAACAAAATAAATGCGCATTATACAAGACTGAATCCTGATTTTCATTTATAATTCAATGTTATGGAAATGGCTTACATGGCCTATAATAGGGGTTTACGGGGTATAATAAACATATCTTAATACTGGATTCAGACAGTAGGAGGCTGGAGTTCAGAATATTATTGTGGAGTCTGGTGCGACCACCCTAAAGCTGGACTTGAGTGGTCTAATATTATAGGACAAATAATACCCTAATATCTGACCAATCGAGGTTATTCCTGTTATAATAGGTGCGGTAAACTGGGACCTGATAACAATAGTCGGGGTCCACTTTTAATGGACCGTATCACTGATGAGACCTATAGATGAGCTGTGTCTGACGAGGAACAGACAAGATATAGCAGAAATAGACATGTGGAGGACTGCCCTTCTTTGAGAAGGAGTATTTACTGTGCAGTGACCGGTCACAGGTTGGAGCTTTGGAGCCACAAATCCATCAAGTCTAGCTTATCCTCCTCCAAAAGGAAACTTTTCTTACAAAAAAGCGCATATTTGAATTATTCCAATTATCATTATTCATCGTTTATCGTTTTACTTGGATTAATTTCTTAAGTACTGTAATAAATTCCAGCAACTAAACTCATCCCCCCTGGAAACCGCACGAGGCGTTATAATCTGTGGTATTAACAAAATAGGGCATATTTCTCGTGGTTTTCAGTTCACCGAGAATGGTATGATGATTCTAAAAATAGGGTTATACCAGAACAAGAGGTGAAGTCTCCGCGTGTGCCATCAAAACATGCTGCACACTGCCAGTGGAAGTAAGCCCCGCCAGCGTATCACGGACATGAGACTCATTTCTGCGGTTTTTAATGTCGATTTATATATTTATTATATATTATATATTATTTATATATTTACGATCTGGACTTATATATTATTAGTGGCAGTCGATTATTTGAAGTTAATGCCAGAATTAATATCATGGGGTTTACGTTAATTCGTGGCTGGACAGTGGACATGATGAGAAGCTACTTTCACCACACAATGAGAGAGATAAAACACTCCATCAAGTGCTAAAGTATGTTAAAGTATGTTAAATTATGTTAAATTATGTTAAAGTGTGTCCTGTTGCCCAGTTTAAGTGCACCCTTGTCCTTGGTAACCCGACCTACTAAGTAGCCTACTAATTAACAATATTCCAGAATTTTCCAGGAGATCCTCGTTTTATCACGAACACACCATATTAAATCCTGTACGTGTATACTGTATATTATTATATATATTATATATCCACTAAATCCGTCCGTATCAACTAGAATTATACCACATTTGGACTATTTATGAGTTAAAGCAGTTGAATACAATCCGCATAAAATTTAATAAGTCTGAAGAATCTGGTTCTTACAATAATATCCTTCAAAATCTTCAAAATGTTGAGATCATACAAGTTGAAATGTGTTGCCCACCATTTTCCGTGCCAGTAAACCCCTCCCTTCAGCTAGTTTAAAACAATAGAGGTCCCCAAACAATGACGAGTAGTAAAACAGTAAAATGTATAATAATATCTACATGATATTGGTGGAGTGTACAACTGGTAGGGTTATACCCAGGCGAGTAGAGGGACAATAGGTCCGGTAAATTGAGCAGATATGATGCCCGGGGTTGTATATTATTTAGACTGAACTGGGTATCATGAATATGAAAATGTCTAGTGATTCCGTTTAGTCTGACGACAATGTGTAGATATATCCGATGGATTGGATTTACGTTTCAGACAAACAGATCGTCTTTAACAAAGAGATTTATTTGTGTCGCTGAGTATGAACAAAAGTATATTCAGTTGTGGGATGTTGTTCATACTCTAGGATGAATCCTTGACAAATATCTACATTTTTCTAATCCCCAATAGGATTGATGGCAGTGTTTTAAGAGTGATTTACAGTAGTTAGTAAATAAGTCTTCTATCACTGTCATCGGTACTCTGGTAAACTGGTACATACCACTGGTAAACTGGTACATATCACTGGTAAACTGGTACATATCACGGGTAAACTGGTACATATCACTGGTAAACTGGTACATATCACTGGTAAACTGGTACATACCACTGGTAAACTGGTACATACCACTGGTAAACTGGTACATATCACTGGTAAACTGGTACATACCACTGGTAAACTGGTACATATCACTGGTACACTGTCACAACACAAGGGTGTGAACTGCCAACACCTCTCCGAACACCTCCGCCATTTGTCACAATTGTGAAACTTATCCCTCACGCCCAATCAGCTGCTCTTAATCCGGGTTACGTGGTCGGATGTTAACCAATTACAGAGGAGTATTCGGCGAATCTGGTCCAATAATCTGAGTAGGAACGTAATCGTGACAAATATTGTAACTTTGTTACATCCGGGACCGTTATAATATATCGGAGACGAGTATAACAGCTCACACATCCCACCCAATCAGCTTGCTTCTTCTCCGTCACGTGACTCCATCATAAGTGCTCACGTGATTTAATAAAAAGCAACAACTTTTCAATTTCCCCATCTCAATCCAGAAACTGTCCACTCCCGATCTTAATAATATCCTAGATCTCGACATCAGATGACAAGCGCTCCGTCTAAATGAATATATCACACTCGCACCTACATCTACTATAATCTGGTACCGAACAAGTTTCTCCTGCTCTGATTCGCTGGTTTCTGTCACGTGACAGGTTTGCTGGGCTCTTATTGGCGGAGAGGGGTAAACAAAAGCTAATGAAGGGGGCATAGTGAGGTGCTAATAAATAATGATGAAGTCGTCTCTCAGTATGCTTGCCCTAAATACGCGTCCCACCGTCTCAACTCATCGCTGCTCACTCATGTTTAACAGGCGCCGTCAGTCTTTCGAGGTCAAAAACGGACAAGTTTTTAAAAACTTGTCTCTCTAGAAACCGCTCCTAAGTAACGAATATAATATAATAATATTTTGTAAATTCTAGAACTTCTATTCCTGAAGAGTTTTTTCTCTCCTGTCTCGCCATGATAATGGAGAAGTTTCAGGTTCAGCCAACTTTTAACACCGCCTCAAATAAACACGAGTTTAACACGTGTTACAGACTAATAAACACGTATTACAGTGTACTTAACGGGTCTGACAGATGAACTATGAAGTGTTAAATTGAACACACATTGAACATGCTACTAACATTACAGTTTAAAGTGCTATCACGTTAACTCTTAAACATGAAGTACGACAAAGTTAGTGTCCAGAGAGAGATAAATAAACACGTGACATGGAACACGCTAATCTACCACACTAATCTACCACACTAATACCACGCTAATACCACTGTAGTAAACGGACCTGACACTTGAAGTCAGAGAGAGGTGTAATATTGTTAGTGTCCAGACTCACTATTAAAGAGAGACATGTTTACCTTACAGTTTACAGAGTCATTCCGGGGTCTGAACTGTGACACGTGAAGTGCGCCAGAGTTAGTGTCCAGTTAGACCCGGGGGCTGGTTCAGAGCAGGGCTGGTTCAGAGGAGACTACAGTTAGTGTAGGGGGATTAGACCGAGTGATTAGGGCTAGCCAGATGGTGAGAGGGGTATATTGGACCCTCACTTCACCCTTCAGACTACGTTCAGAGTGCAGCTCTGTTCTTAATTCTGGCACTGTCCGAGAATTAGCAACCTTGTAACTGTGAGTCAGGTATTGTGAATATTGTGGCGGAACATAACCACAACCTTGCTATTAACATTCACACAAAACATCTGCAACCACATTTCAGTGTGTTGAGGCTAACATGGCCGTGTCAATGCCAGAGGATCTCCATGTCTGAACATGTCTGAACTGTACACCAAAACACCAGATATCCACCTGAACTGTTCACGTTGTTGACTCTGTAAAATCTACCACCTCGATCCTTCACGGACACGAAGTAGCCCATGAAGTCACGTGACTTATTTGAACACACGTGGTTGGTCAGCTCGGTCACGTGATATTCTGGCGAAATGTTATGAGTTTGCCGTTTCGTGTGCGATGTGGTCGATTCTGTTCTGTCGTGCATGTGGATTATGTAAATATCGATGAGCTGTATATTATCTGAGGTACATAATCCGTGAAATAAATTCCAGAAATAACAAAAAATAACGCTTCTTTCACTACCAGGCCACTGGAAGCCCTAAAATCTTACAACTCGATAAATTTTCGCATGTCTCTTGAAGAACGCCCGAACTTCTAATTCGTCCTGACAGTTCATACTTAAGAATTTGAGACCACGTGACCCCAGATATATCTTGACTCAAAATCAAGCATGATCTCGCGACACTGCTACGATAAATGTACGATACAAAATAATGAATGTTACTCCTCTCATCAGAGCGATATGATTGTTTTAAAGTTTTAACATTTTACTGTAGTACGTGCGAGGGAAGCATGTGTAAGCATGTGTAAGTGTGTGTATGTCAGGGTGTACGTGTTTCACCGTGCACAGAGTGAGTGAGGGAGGGTGGGGCGGAGGAGGTGGAGGGACAGGTATTATACGTGCTATGTGCGGTTGAAATATAGAAATATAGAGGGGGTGTTACAAGAAGTGTAGGTTGTAGTGGTGACTGGAGTGTTACCTAGGACTGTTCTTAAATGTGGTTACTCGAATCAAGCTGTGAGATTAGTGTTCAATAGTGCGGTTATCTAGCTAGCAACCTTCCATTTAACACAGACCAGCGTGAACAAGTTGTATATCTTCATTCATTGTGGAATCGTGAGGAATTAGAATCGTCTCAATGTACTGACTAGTGACTATTGACGTGAATGTAATATGTTTGACGTAAAAAGAAATCTGAAAGAGATCTGGAGAAGTAAAGTATAAGTATAAACTAAAGTAAAGTATAAACTCTATGTTTCCACACGAATGATATCGGCAGAAGAAGTCTGGACCCCAGACACTGTTAAATGAGGTAAGAACACTGAACAATAGCACCAGATCTCCAGTACAAACTCAGCCATTAAAGCCCCGCCAGATGTTTGCTAAACTAGTTATAGCGTGTCACTGACTGACCCTACTAATACTCCTGTAGATATGATCTATTTTCTATACTATATCACCGATCCTGCTGGTCGTTGTTCTGTGTGCAGGTGAGTGTGTAGTTAGCAGAGTGTGTGTGTGTACACCGACACGCTGTCTGTACCAGGCTTATCAGGTTTTAAATTACTATTTGTTTTCAAGTGTTTTACAGCATTGAAGGTCTTACTTTTAATAAAAGTAATATAAAATTAAATGTGACATTAAAGTTTTATCTGGTGTCATTTTATCTGTAACGTTTAAAAAATTGGATAAAATTATTTACCTTCAGCAGTTAAAATATGACTTCTAACTGATCACACTTGATTGATATAACTTAGCTAATACAGTATATAATTTGGTTATTTACTGATATATAGAACAACCGATCCAATAGTCTGACGGATTCTTAACTTATAGACACTTTAAATTATAAATTGGCTGGCTAACCTGCAGAGTTTGTCACCCGATAAATCAGTAAGTTGTGAATATGTTATGCAAGTGAATACTTACATTAACTTCATAACCCCTTAAGGTCTACTCTCTAAACTTTGGTGAACACTCGAACTCTTACAAGAGTAAATCAGTGTAAACTTGTAGTCGTTGGCAAAAAGTAGACCCAGTAGGATGCGTACAATCTGTTCAATTATAGATTATCATTAAGGGCACCAGTCCGTCCATAAATTGGCGCACAGCCAATCAAAAGTGAGGCTTCAATCACCTGACCTGAGTTAAGTTCACACAAACCAATATTCTAATCACGTGGTTAAAACCACCAATTATCTGGAATTTTAGCAGGTTAAGAGCGATAGACCCTCTGGGACGTGTTAAAACCTTTTAGCTCCTGGTCTACTTTTGCATTAAGGTGCTGTGTTGGCTACCTGCTGAAGTAGCAGGAAAACATTGATTGGATTTTCAGTAAAAATTATCGGCAGGCACCACGCATGCGGATTTTGCACTTTAACAGGGTAGCTTTACTCCCCAAAACAGTTAAAAACTAAGTCACGTGATCAAATCCCTCCAATGAGCTACCAGGATTTTTACACAGTAGTTTTGCAGCTTCAAAACTCCCTAGGAAGAACTGATCACAAGAAACTAGTGTCAAGGGCGGTTGTTGATTGGTTGGTATCTGCAAGTGGAGACCTCTGATTGGGCCAGAGTTCGCGGCGGTATAACGCCTCCTGTTTTACACCTCTGAGATAGTAGCTCAAACGTGACTAAATAGTGTTACTCCTTTATAATATAAATAGTTGGGTGTTATAATAGCCTACACCTTGAGTGGGCTTGCATGAATATTGGCTCGAGAATACGATAATTCATAGATTACCGCTGATTACCATAACATTTTATTTACAATTACCAAATTGAATTTGGATCATTTCAGTCCTTAAGCCAAATCTTCACCAAAATTCTATCTGAAGTCACTGCATTAAACCAGAATTATATCTGAAATCACCGCATCCTATAAAGTTAACCATAAACAAAAGATGGTCGTCAAAACACCATTAATCACAATAACTACATGTTAAAAGGGGAACTATGCAGGTGCACACCACCACGCCCTCCTAGACCCCTAGTCCCCTCGTCCCTTTGTATTTGTAAATATTTGTGGTAAATTCAACAAACTCCAGACAAGCCCGTCATCTCCAACCACTCCTGCGCTATTACCTCCTCATTCAACACAGACAATCAGCTTGCTTAGTTTTTCAAGATCAAAGAGGATGGCGATGGCGAGCATGTAAAACTCAAATGAGAGGTCTGATTGTGGCAAAAAGTAAGCAATTTTTAGTATGATGAAGTGGCGGTCAGCCAATGAAACAGCTTTATATGCTCACGTGACGGGGTTTATAATTGTCCATTAGCTGGTGATTAGATATATCAGTTGGGTGTCAGTAGCCCTCATATTATTATCATCTCAATCCCTGAAATTAGCACACATTTCCATCACCATCTTTACTTGACATATTTTCTGAGATTGAAAAATCACACTAATCACACACGATTATATTGATCAGATTTCCCAGTGGCAGTGTGAGTTACACTCTGCAACACAGATCACTAATTAACTAATGGGCCCATCAGCTGTATGAAAGAGAGAGTACTTTACTCGGACAAGATAAGAAAAAACCCTCAAACACCGAATATATCTGAATACTTACACTTCGCTTCCATCCAACTTCCACCACATCATCAGTAATGAGATTATTAATTCAGGTTTAGTACCGGGAGTGATAAGACAAGTATGGAGAGTAAGTATGAGCAGCCCTCCACAAGTACCAGTACTTGTGGAGTACTTGTCCCCCTCCATTAGTGAATACCAGGTGTGGATATGGGAACCATGTTGTCCTAATTAGGGCTGGTGTTTTTAAATTTAATAACAGGTTTATTACGGGGGAGTACTGAGTAGCGCCGTGTGTTCCTCTAATTTTAGGAAACGTTTTAAAGTTTTAAAATGTGAACAACTCCCTGGAGACGGGATGTCTACTCGTTTGAGTTGGAAAACCTGGTTATTTTGTAAGTTTTAAGATAACACGAGCAGGGGCACCGGTAGCACCTGTAGCACCTGTAGCACCTGTAGCAAGGTGCACCTGCCTGAGGTAAATAGGGCTGTTCAGATCAAGGTGGATGTTTTGTATAATTCCAACAAGGATTGATAGTTGAAAATCATATCCTGTGAGCTGAGTACCCTACATGTTATACCTAGCATTGGGAGGAGGTAGAACTGGTAGATATAAGATAACTCTATCAGCTGTATCAGATTGCTTGCTGTAATACCGATAAGGGACTCATTCTATTTGATACTATTGTTCAGTGAACACAGGTATTAGGGTGCTGTTTTCAGCAGTCTAATCAGTTACGCAGGATATCAAACCATCACGTGACCAAGCCAGCCAATCAGCTGGTAGCATTCCTACTGGCAGTGATCAAACCAATGAGAAGGCAGTATTTAACCGTTACCTTGCATACCAGGTACCCTCGGAACAATAGTGCATTGATAGATAGGTCTGCAAGTTTCATCAAATATCTAAATAAGTAAATAAACCATGTTCTCATTGTTCACTGATGCTGGTATTTTCACCCCCCAAATGAACGTCAAGACCACGTCTACAGATAATCATATTTACAAGACGTATATGTTGGAGATTACAACAACTGATACCACACCACGGATAGTTTGCAGGAAATGTGATTATGGGTAACGTTAGATGGACTAATGTTAGTTGACGGCCCTGGTACACGGGTCAATTTGGGAGGGAGGGTCAACTTGTTGGGATGATAGGAAATACACGGACTGCCATTATATTGGTCATCTTTATACTGGATCTGGATTTGAAGTAAGATAGGAATTTGAAGTAAGATATAAATTTGGAGTTGACAGACGGTATGTTGATGGTTTGAACACGCCCATTTGGTGTTAAGATGTAAATTTGTAATGATTTATACTTGCTAATTAAGTTTGAAGAGCCAGCTAACAGCTTGTATATTCTAAATTAGAACACCTTATCGGCTTGTTTAGTATGATTTAGCGGGTCTTTACAGCTTTTTAACCCTAGACAGACATCAAAACGATCAAAAGACAACTAAACATGGTATTAAAACTTGACAACACATATAAAGCATGATCAGACCAGATCAATAACACGTGATAATCGTACAAACAGACAAACAGACAAACAGACAAACAGACAAACAGACTACACTGGCGCACAAACCTGGTATGGTTCTGTATCCCTGGTTCCCGTACGCTAAATGAGATGGAATAACCAACTTCCTCTTCTCACTGAAACACATGTTTATTTAATAAAGATAAAACAAAAGTTTGTTTATTAAGGATAAAATACAAGTTTAGTTAAAAGGGAGAAAATAATTATATAAGGGAAAAACAGGAGTTTGGTATGCGAGGAGGATGGACCGTGAGTGAACCTAGTTTCTGAGGGGTTGATGACAAATTATAAAATTGTCTATCTATCTACTGTGGAGGGTCCGAGTCATGTCCTGCCCGATGGGGGGTGGGGGGTCATGTCCTGCCCAATGGGGGGTGGGGGGTCATGTCCTGCCCAATGGCATGTCACCAACAAGTAATAACAATGACGCAAGACTAGCCACATCACCCTTCGCTATGCTCTACACCACAATTTGTTTATTAGTATAAGTTGAAAATTTGAACAGTATATGGTTAGTTGTGAGGGACGAGGGTGGATTATCGGAGTCGAAAGTGAGATCATTGTCAGATCATTTAATTCTAGGGAAGACTATCAATGGAATTTGGTGTGTCATCTCCAAACCACAACATTTGACAAATTATCTTTTCAAATAACGTATTAGTGCTGTTAGCCACGTCACTCTTGACCTTTCTACTATCTTCTACAATCTACACCACAATTCCACATTTTTCATTGACATTTAAATGTTTTGATCAAAATTCAGGACACAGAAGTCTTATCCCATCATTCTTTTTTTGTGTTATTGAAATAATAATATGCATTTTACCGTCCTTCAAATAAAGTTGATTAATTAATCAGTTTCAAACACTGGCACATACCGTTCACACTTACAATTCGCAGGTATATGTGTCCCAATAGTTTCAACTGAAGAAAACCGACAAATTGAGAAATTTGTGCTATTCGTTGTCATAATAATATGGATAAAACCAAGGTCCAATCAGAAAGAGGCATTCACTTAACAACAACCCTCGTGACCATGGAAAATCGAACATCATAGCTCATATTTTCTTTGATGAATTAACACTTTCGTCCGTAGAGAAGGTAATATGCTTTTTCCATGAAATATTTCTGAACACCAGTAATTGTGACAGAAAATTCCAAAACCGGAACATCCGAGTATTTACACATTCTCGAAACTCCACAGATATCTGAATGTAGGAACGTTCTAGAATATCAAGAAGTCACACTGGTGTCCCATCATAGCACCAAGGGTGCAGTTTAGCAGTTTAAAACCTTGGTTGTAATAACTTAATGAAAGTATGGTCCATGAGGGATCGCGGCACCACACGGCAACACACTCGGCATCACACACGGCATCACACACGGCACCACACCAGCTCTACACGGTCAGAACTTTCCAGAAACCTAATGAGGCCCTCTGATGATCTTATTATACCGAGATGCAAGTCAATTAATAACCTTAATTATCATACACACACTAATTAATTATATCTTAATTAACTTAATAAACTACCCTCACATTTACTCCTTTTTAGCACGTCTTCAAAATCCAACATATCGTGCCTCTCTGAGCTTTGATAATGCCGACATTACAACCTAGCTGTAGTAAATACGATCTGAAGTTCTTTCAAACACTTGCGATATTATCGCCCAATTACAAAAGAATTAAATAGTACTTACTTTAGTTTAGCTTTAGTAATGAGACGTTAAAGGGTTTACAATTTAGTTAGTTGGTCACCCGAAAGTTTGTAGAATTGTTGAACAATCGGCTTAATAAACCTTAAAGCCTTACCGTCTTTTATCGCGTTTAAGATTCACAATTTTAATTTGCATGGTTTAAACTATAACGATTTAATGAATGATAATGAAGTCCTAATTTGGGGTGGGTTTAAATCTGCTTTACACGAGGCCGTGCACAAAACCAGCCTCTGGGAAGTTTCAGATGTATAAAATTATATGTTCCCATGTTCCCCATCTCACTAAAACGTTCACAACTTTCTCACAAGCTGGGTAACAGCTTCTCAAGCAGGCAAAACCACGAATCAAGCTGACCCAATCAGGCCCTATTAGTCTAAATCTGCCCAATCAGTGCCCCCAATCAGTGTTTACCAGGGTTTAAGAAGTATGAGAGCTGGAGGGGGTTGACTAATAATTACATGTCATGTGTATCAGCTGTTGTTTAGTGGTTAGTGTGCACTGTGTACCTTATTAGAATAATACAGTGTGTAAGTGTGACATGAGGATTAGAAGAAATGTTGGAAAATAATGATACAAATATATTGGGTAGAATGTAGATAAGAAAATATGTATAAGTTTAAAGTAAGTTTGACTCACCCAAAACACATTCCGAGAATACCACGTTCCAATCCTGAGGAATGAGAAGGTAAATACCTATTTGAGATTATCAGTACTTATACTGAGCAAATACTGAGCAAATACTGAGCAAATAATGAATTCTATGTTGTACCAGTAAATATAGCTACTGGGTTATGAGTCATTCCTAAATGAGGACTACTCGGTGAGAATAGTGCAGTTATGCACTATATTATACGCTAGTGTTATTTTATTTTTAGCTACAGGAAAAAATTGTATGCATGTAGTATTATGACTTACCAAAGTTGCACTTTTCGTGCATGTTACGCTGCTACACAAATGTTCATATTACTTTTTAAGGCATGATTTCAAATTGGTAACACAGCTCTAGCTACAGCAAGTGCTCAGGATATGCAAAGTACAGGAATATTTGTGGCACTTGTTCTCCCTCAATTTATGCACCCCTAATTATTTCAATAATCTCCGAGAAGCAGCTGCTGATCCAACCAATAAACCTCCTCGAGACAAGTCACGTGGTTGAAATAAACCAATCAGATTCAAGAAGTTTTAAATCTTGAAGTAGAATTAATGGTCCTTGCCCGGCAGTGCTACTTGAAGACTCCACTCCATTTACCGTATATCACAGGGTAAAATCGGGGAGGTGTTAATCATTAAAATTGTCAAAGAAATTGGCAGGAACAAATGAAAATGGCGGATTTACACCACGTGACTGATTTAAAAGGGTCAGGTGGGGAGCAGATTGAGCAGATGAAACGCTACAATCTGTTACCGAGAGTACAGGTTAATACAATTACAGGCAGTTTAAAGGCGGGTACGGGGTACACTGTGTATTATAGGGGTGGGGAGGCGGCTAGCTGGTAGTTACTATCAGTGGGACGGCTGGCACTTAGTTATCACTTATTGGGTCATGGGTGCTCTGTTATAGAGCACTGTTTAAGTGGTTTATAATCAATCCTGATTGATTCTATCAAGACTTAGATAGTGCCAAGGTTATTCATCATTTCTGGTTAAATCCAATTGTTGATTTACTATTCAAACTAAGTAACTTTCTCACAAATATTACCCGGAATTTTATAATATTAAAACCCACAAATATTACCTGGAATAACAGTGTTGGTTCCCAGAGTAAAGTTGAGTGGGCCCCTCTCGGCGAGTGAGGTACTGTCGAACTCTAACCCTGACTCTAAATACCCCTGAAATAACACTAATGTTAGACCGCACTCTACATATTATCTGAAAATTAATGTAAAATTAGTGTAAACGATATTCTTCAAAGGCAGACCATGTTTTGATTACCACACAGAAAACCCTTTTTTCTTCCCAAAATCAGTCAAGCAAAGGTTATTAATAATAAGTGTCCAATCAAATTTCCTGTATGGACTCTAAATGTTTCTGAAAATTAATGTTAACGATATCCCTGAACACCGATTGCTGACTTTTAAACAAATTTTCTTTGAATCAAAGTTTTAAATCCAAATTCGATCAAGAGGCCGGGGTATTATTGACACATTGTAACGATTTCTGGAATCTTGTTTTCTAGTATGAGATGGATAGAATTGTCGTTGTTGCGGTTTAGGAGTCGAATGCGGGTTTATGATCTAATTATCTCTCATTAAGATGCCGTGCCCTTGGCTAACAGATATTTAGGGGTGAAACAATGCAACAAAATTCCATCAACTCAATGATTTCGTTTCTATTCTTCACCAACAGGGTTCCTCAATAGATCAAATCAGATTAGAAAAAGTTTCTAATTTTTAGAATTCGGAAGATTAAGCGAACTAAACGCTGCTAATGTTTCCCGCACCTCACTCTAACACCCCACGTGACTAAATCCCAGCCCTCTCATTGGAGGACAGCATTTTAAGAGGCACATACACATCTCATGTGTTGCGCACTAACAGCAGTTAGTGAAATTGTTAACTTCATTAGGAGGACAGTTACAAGACCCATTCGGTTTGAAGAGAGCGAGATGACGAAGACACATGACATTGTATCATACTATATGCACCGAACAGGCAGATACTAAATTCTGTGATGAGAACAATAGTTGTGGCGGGAGAAGTTGTGGGTGCCGTGGGGAGGTCTAGATATACTAAGATCACGTGACAGGACCACACCGTTCTAATTGGTGGACGGCATTGTTTTAAGAGGCACGTGTTGTTTAACTATGAGCGAGGAGAATTGCCTCAATTTACAAATCTAAGGGTAAGTGTGTTGAACATTACATAATGCTAGAGATGTAAACATTATGATGATATGCCTCCTTAAACTGAGACATTGTAGCTATTATATCACCATTACACCACGCTGCTAACTTAACTAAAACGTTTTAAAACTCAGGACTGAAAGCTACGTAACCTCCCTCTCTAGCTGAGATACCTGATCCATGATGCGGGAGTTGTACACTGGCCAGATCATGTGCCGACGTGCAGTGGAGCGCAGAACCACGAAATATGCAGGAATTCTATTACTACAACATCAGATCAACTTAGTCCCCTCTATTGTGTTATATGATGTGTGGCCAAATTTCAGGAGTTACTCGTCCCGTAATGTACATGAAAAGTAGATATTATTATGTCACGCTATACTGCTACCTGCTGCTCCTGCTGCAAGATACACCTCCGAATTCATTACAGCTCCGTGTACTAAGTGTGTACTTTCGGAGAGAGGATATCAACACAGGAATCATGGGTTGAACAAACTTTGTTGAGGCGGGAAGAAAATGGGAGAGGAAAATTTACAGCAATTATCAACAAGTTGATGATATGGTTTTGTGTACTTACAGTGTATTCTATCGTGATTTTATCTCCATCTTCGGCAAACACATCGCAAGATTCCGGTCGATACTGAAATACATGGTTTTAGTTTTATCCGACCTATAAAATAATGCGATAATGAGGAACATGGTATCATCGATAATTAACAGGTAAGTAAGTACTTGCAGCATTACAGACTGATTGTATGAAATAGTATGTATGTAATGTATTACATCTAAATGACAGAGAATATTGGATTTTGGAGGGATAATTCATTACTATGTTACCTCTACTGTTATGAGAACATCTTTGAGTTTCTTGTTAGCGTTCGCTAGAACTGAGCACCCATCAAGAATTATTGATAAAATTACGTAAATAAGCATCAGCTGAGTTTCTGACATCTCTATCTAAGAGTAAAGGAATGGTTAGATTATATACTTGATACAAAAAAATGAGAATTTTAGAGACGTTTGCTTTTAAAGATAGGTTACGTTTGGTGAGATATTGGTGAATACTGACGAATTTCAAAAAAGAAATGTCCTTTAATTTTTGAGAAATTAAGCTTTCAGTAATTGAAAGCCTTATTTTTAGCATGCTTACTTAACATTGTCTAGAGTGATTAAAAATGGGTAGAACCGCACTGTTGGCACTTGTGATCCTGGACCACTCTAAAAATATTCACCATAGTTTTGGCAAACAGCTATCTAAAAATTGAGTTCCACAAAGATTTCAAGCTAAAATAGGAGTTTCCATCAAATCTCATGAACATACTCGAAATCCAAGTAAAATGTAGCTGATCCTTGGAGCTAGCTCATCTGAGGGACTTCAGCAAATCAGTTAGGAGGACAAATGTTAAATCTGATCATGGAAACTTAAATTTTTTATGTCATAGCTGTACTAAACTTTTTAAACCATATAAAACAATCGATCTAGGTAAGAGGAAAGAGCAAGAGAGTTCAAATTTAGCCTCGTATTATTGATGGATGGGTCAGTTTTTCAGGATAGGAACTTTCTGTATACTAATGATGATTAAAAATTGTTGACCATTAATTGCCAGGGCTTCAGGAAACACAAATTTAACATGATAAAGATTTCGTTCAGACGCTTTGAAAAATTTGATCCTTTTAAGTGGAAGTGTGATGGGCAGTGGCGTAACGTTGCCTGTTGGCGCCCCCCTGCCGAAAAAAGCGCCCCCCTGTTGGCGCCCCCTCCCCTTTTGGTGCCCGTCCCTAAAATTGAACAAATTAGGTGATTTAAGAGAATACGCCGGTAAAATCTCTAAAAAAGTGTGTATCTAGAGCAAAACGCGCAGTTTTGCTAGTACTTTAGTTAAGTTTTCGAAATTGCCCCACATTCAAACGACGATTTGGCGCCCCCCTAAGACGGCGCCCCCCTGCACAGCGGGATCAGCAGGGCCTTTCGTTACGCCACTGGTGATGGGAGTGCAGTGGGAGTTTGTGATACACTCCCGAATTCAATATCACACATATCTCGAGCTGCTAGTTATAGTTCATAGACAAAATCCAACTAGGAGCCTTGGTGGAGGAGCTTCATATTTGAAGCTTACAAATGGTGACCTGCTTCACCCAGTGGATAAAATCAAGGATATTGGTTTAATAATTTCTCTTCTGATGTTTCATGGTCTGACCATACCAATTAAATTACTTCAAAGGCCAAAAAATTTGCTTCCTTGGTCTTGAGTGCTTTTAAAAAACAAGGACCTGTGATGTCACTTTATAATTAAAGAGGCATGAAAAGAGAAAGCAACCATAATTAATCTACAAATTGCAAGCAATTTGTCAAAGCTAGCCTATCAAGCCATAACAAGTCCAGTTACCAATATGTCGAGTCATTGTATGATGATTCATTTGTGTATTTTGGTCCATGCCTCTGCAGTCTGCTTCATATGACAAAAATTAGGCTATTGGCTTTTTTAGATGCCTCAAGTTAGCAACAAAAATGATTTTAATAGAAACTCCTGACTGAAATGGAACTCAAACAAGGTGACTACTTCACTGCAAGGTCGGTCAACTCATTTGTTGTCGAAAAGCAAAATTGTCCAAAACACTTCCAAGGATCCTTAATAAATAATAAGGGTGAAATATTGTGCATGTATACTGCGGACTGGTTATATCGAAATCGAATGGCACAATTACTATGAACTAACCATGTCATAGTGGTTATCAAGAATGAGGTGGGAAAAAACAAACAATTAAATCTCAATTCACTGAAACAAGAAAATAAACTAAGTATAACTTGGATCAAAAACATATCCAACCTTAACTGAAATTTTAGGACTGCATAATGATGATGATGAATTATGATAGGGTATACACAACAAGTAGATCGAAATTGGTTTGAGCTATAATAAGTATAAGCACAGATGTATGTAATAAAGTTTACTAAATATTATATACTTATGTGTAATGGAATCAGCACGATAAAAAGGTATAGTAAATGATCAAAACAATTTGGAAACAAATCTTGTCTTGAGTCTGAAAAAGTCCTTGGACATTGCAACAACTGCTTCTACATATTAGACTGAAACATTATTTCAAACTTGACATTATAATAAGTCAAAGTCAATACACATAAGTTGAAATCGAATAATAATCAAATTGTAGCCTTGCTTGCAAATGCCAATCCTTTGCAGCTCATAGTTCTACCAGCGATCTCAAATTATGGTAACGAAAGTTTATATTCATGCGCGGCTCTATAAATAGTAAGGCAGCACTTTATGAAATAGAGCCTGTATAGTTTTGGATAAGAGGCCAAGCCGCTGATTTTGGATAGGAGGCCTTTATTGCTTTTTAAACCAATGCTAAAGTTAGCCTTTTAAAAGTACCACAAATATTCCAAAATAAACATTGATGTTTTTGTTGATAAACCCATTTTTAATGACACCGGTGCGCGCTACTTTGCAGCACTTAACCTTAATTGACGATGTCAATTCATGGCAGCTCGGCGCGGCACAGTAGCGCATCTCGCCGATCTAGCCAGGCGCTGTGAGAAGCCTTATTGAGTGCGCGGCGCGACACAGTAACGCATCGCGCTACAACACTTAACCTTGAAAAACAAAAAAGACAGCGCGCTATTTTTTTAAAAATTAAATGAATATCATCCGTCCAACATTTTTCATAAAATATTATTATTTTTATTTTCATAAGGCCGTACAATTCAATTTTTATAAATTACCATCTTTGCACATATTCTTGTAGTGCGATGCGATACTGGGCCGCGCCGCGCACTCAATTATGCTTCTCGCAACCAACCTCGCTAGATCAGCAAAGTGCACTACTGGGCCTCGCCGAGCTGCGATGAATTGACATTGTCAATTAACGCATATTCGTTTGACTTCAATTAATTTTATATAATAAAAGCGAGCCTAGGTATTGTAGCGCGATGCGTTAATGTGCTAGATCGGCGAGATGCGCTACTGTGCCGCGCCGAGCTGCCATGAATTGACATCGTCAATTAAGCCTAGGTATAAACTTAAAAGCTGGGTAACGGTTGTCTTACGTTGTATGACCCGCCGCGCACGAATTGCGCGGCTCCCCCTGTATCGTCAGGACGTTTTCACCATAGTGAAACGACCGTGGGGGTCGCAACGTGATACAAGGTAACGGGTTGTGGCGCGATTGGCAATGCACTTGCTCTAACCATAGCCCTCTCGCTTGCAGTAGCGCGCGACCACCTGGCTATGTGAAACAATTCACTACTATATTGTTTGTCGTTTGACCATTGTTAATGATCTGGCCCGGCACGCGCTACTTCGTAGCACTTGCCATCGAGAAGAAAGCGGCGCGCGCTACTTCAAAGAAATTTAGACGAGTAACATCCCGAACATTCGTCAACTATGACTTACTTGACTTACTGACTTAAGGCGGCTTCAGCGTCCGAGTATTGATGCGCTGTCTCCATAAAACTCTATCCGCCATAAGTCCGCCCATTTCTCCAGTGTCGTTGAGACCCGTGTCAGCTCGTAGGCTATCAACATAGGTCATGGCTGGTCTCCCCCTACTCCGCACCCCATGAGTTGGTTCCCAGAGTAGCAAGCGGTTTGCGACTAGTTCTGGGTGCCGGTGGATATGGCCTGCTAGTCGCATCCTGCGCTCTTGGATCTTCATGGTTGCTCTCGGTAGGTTGCCATAGACTTCTTTGTTGGTTTTTCGCTGCTTCCAATCCACATTAAGTGCCATCCTTAGCATTCTAGTGTAGCAGCCATCAATGCGTTTCTTCAATTGCTCTGTCAACGTCCACGTTTCAGAACCATAAAGAAGTATTGATTCCACAGTAGCAACAAATAGACGGATCTTCAGTCCTCTTCTAAGGTCAGACTTCCACATCTTCTTCAGCTTGTGGCAGGCTGCCCAAGCCTTAGCTTTTCTGACCCGCAGGTCCCTCTCTGTTGTTGCTATCCAAGCTCCAAGGTAAACAAAGTCTGTCACCTTTTCCAGCTGGTTTCCAGAACAACTATTAAGACTACTCGCCTCCTCTGTCATGTTCAGAGTCATGAACTTAGTTTTAGTGCCGTTCATGGCTAGCCCAACACTCAGTGCTGCTTTCTCAAGCCTGTCCAGGAGTAGTTTTGCCCCTTCAATGGTATCAGTGATAAGGGCAACATCATCTGCAAACTCGACGTCTGCGATCTTTTCGGCACCAATCCTTCTACTCCGTGCAGGCCTGAGAGTGAACCCAGAGTCCGAGTCATCATCGTCTATAGACACTGTCATGATATAGTCAATCACGATAATGAACAAGTACGGGGCAAGAGTGTCTCCTTGCAGTACTCCAGCCAGGATATCAAAAATTTCTGTTATACCATCGGCTGTAACTACTTTAGCCTTTGTGCTCGTATAGATACCCTCAATGAGCCGCACTATGGCTTCTGGTATGCCATATGCTTTCAATATCTTCATGAGCAAACCTCTATGCACACTATCGAACGCCTTTTTGAAATCTATGAAAACCATGGTGGCCTTAAGATTTTTGGCTCTAGCACCCTCCATAATTCTTCGTAGAGCAAGGATGTGCGATGTTGTAGAGCGCCCAGGTCTAAAGCCATTCTGGTTGTCCCTTAAAACTTCCTCAAGACTTGGCTTCATCCTGTTCAGCAACATTTTGTTCAGAGTTTTACTGACTATCGATGTCAGAGATATTCCTCTGTAGTTGTCGGTCTTAGTGAGGTCCCCTTTCTTTGGCACAGGAACAATATTACTGAGCTTCCATTGATCGGGCATGAGACCATCACATAATGCATCGTTGCAGAACTTCAGGATGACGTCATCGATGTCCACCCTCTTCATCACTTCAGGTGAGATACCATCATCACCATAAGCTTTGCCTTCTACTATCTGCTTTTTGGCAAGACGTAGTTCCTCAATGGTGAACGGGCCATCCTCTATATTCAGTGGAGGGTGTATATTCCTGATCGGAATACTATTGTCAGGGACTGTGGGTGGCTGTCCAAGTAACCCAGAGAAGTGCTTCCTCCAGTTCTCAAGACGTTCTGTTGAGCTGCCCCCTTCCACGAGTCCACAGCTGGGATTTGTCCTCCCTGAAATATCGTTGACAAGCTTCCAGCTTTCCTTGTTCTTACAACGATCAGCAGTATCCTCAACTTTCCTGATCTTTCCTTTCAGGATCTCCTCCTCTACCTCTTTGTAGCAGGCCTTTAACAAATTCTTTTTAGTGGCGACTTCCTCTCTCTTCTCCTCACAAGGCTCCTGATGGTATTGGTCCTTGGCCAAGAACAGTCCCCTCCTTGCACTGTCCACTCTTGGGTCACTTGAGGGGTCAATCTGCTTTTGTCGAGTCTTCTTTGGCAGAAGGCTCTTGTTTGCCGCCTCAATAGCAACCATAAGCTTCCCGTAGCTTTCAGTGGCCCCATCATCCTCCTCTACCAGGCCAGAGAATCTATTCCGAACTTCAATTGCATACTTATTTTGAAGCTCACCATCCGACTTCAGGGCACTATAATCATAGTTAACTTTTTTCGGAGGCCTGTGTCCTTTCCTAAAGCTAACTTTGATCTTACACACTACAACTCTGTGATCAGATCCCAACGACTGAAAAGTGTTGTAAACTTCAGTGTTCTTTAATGAGTTTTTCCACTTCCGCCGTATGAGGATATAGTCAATCTGACCTTTGTTAAGTGTCCCATCGGATAAGAAGGTCCACCTCTTGTTGACCTTCTTTCTGAAGCGGATATTGGTAATTTCCATATCGCACTCCAGGGCAGTGTCTCTCAGTAGCTCTCCATTCCGATTGGTACGAGTATGAAAGTACCAACGGGAATCTTCTTCACTCTCCTTTCCAAGCCGGGCGTTCATATCTCCCTCTGTGATCAGCAGGTGGTGCGCTGGCACATCATTCAGAGCCTGTCTAAGGGTGTTATGGAAATCCTCCGCTTCTTCAACTAGTGCTGCCTCGGTAGGACTATAGGCAGTTATAGTTGTGAGTCTGGGATTTCCGTTGAAAGAGATAGTCAGCACCCTTGAGCCATAGGGTCAACTATACTGTGTACTAGGCCGAGCACCGCACATTAAATCGTTTCTTCTTCGTAGATGGGCAAAATGCACCAATATATTTGGGCCTTTCCAAGCTGCGAAGGATTGACATTGTGAATCAACAATCAAGGTAACGGGTCGGAGGACTTCGACGCTTCGACGCGCCGCGCGAACAAGCATTCTTGCTTCGCATTGTCAATGGGTTGACATCGTCAATCAAGGTAACGGGTGAAAATAACAATTTTTAATGTTTATTAGTACCCAGTTACGACGCGCTTTTCTCAAGTTTGGGCAAATTTAACGCATGCCGGCATTTTCAATTTTGCGTGTCATGTGACATTTGCTTAAAAAATGAACTAAGTAAAACAAAACTTTTTGTGGACTGCCGAATGGCAGGCTGAGGGCCGCGCAGTAAAACATTTTAAGGCATATCCTTTTATTTATACTTATTTATTTAATTCATTAAATTCATTTATGATTTAATTGAAAATAAAACGGAGTTGAGAAGTTTATTATTTATTAGGAAAACAAATTTTAGGAAAACAAATTTAAATTTTGATATTTATTAATAACAATCAAAACAAATCATATCATAAAAATAAAGCCGCGCGTTGGTTGACTGCCTCAGTAAGGTGCCCTGCGCATTTACAGAACCTTATGCGGCGATCACATATTTATGAGGACCTGTAAGCGCCAAAATTAATTTAAAGTTTCTAGAAATCATAGATCACTAGATGAGTTACTCATGCTTTTGGATTATAAGAGTGCGGATTGTCAGGTATTTCATTCATTCATACTTAATCGGTTTAAAGCTGTATATTTAGAACTCACTATTGTTTAAACTACGAAAGCAGAACGTAGATAATGGACAATATACCGACGACAATACCAAAGACCCGAGTGCCGCATTGACTTTTCCGGATCCGTTTTTACCGAAGGCTTATCCACCAGTTACTCATGCTGCATGTATATAGACAGTTTTTGGGAGTTCCAAATAGTTTTTGGTTATTCTGATCTGCGACAAATGATACTGCACTGTTAGGATAAACGACGTTTCAAAGTAACAACTTCTTATTCATGCTCAAATTATTTGTTATATAGTAGTGTTGAAAGTATTAAAACTGCTGCATGTATAGTCTGATAATATTTTGTCTTATCTCTAGCAAGCATTCTGTAAATTGAAGTGTCGTAATTATTATAGAAGAGCCAGCCAACCTCCGCATTATAATCTTTTGTGTCCCAAGTTCGTTAATAAAATCTAATCATATAATAAGATTGATCCAATAGTCTAAGATGAACGGTATATCATAGCTCATCCACCGAATGGATGAATTAATCAAGTAATGTTCCCTTTCAACACAACTAAACAACAAACAAATGCTTGCTCACCAGTGGTGACGCAATCGTACGGGCATGCAGTTGGTTCAGATAACTCTCACCCCGACGACAGCGTCGAGAAATTATCAAATTATGCATTTGCGCCATAATGGACACATTTTATATTTAATATTTTGTTGTTTGTATTAGTATTACTAGTATACCTAATCTAGTTTGCTAGTCTATTGCTCAATTCTCTCACTATATTGCTCACTTCTTTCACTTTTGCACGTATGTGCGATAAGCTCGAAAAGAAAGCCGCGCATTGGAATTGGCGTGCGAGGTAATTGCATTGTTAATTTAGTTAAAATTATTGATCTTTAGCATAGATTATTTTTATTTCTACCCTTATGTGTGGATGATTTATAATATATTTTTAATTGATTTTGTTTTAGCATATGAGAAACATACTATTTATTATAAATTTGCGTAATATTCTGTTAATTTGGAGGGTTTTACCGCTTTCATAACGCGACGCGCATTATCAAGATTTCTTTTATTTGCTTTCAAGTTTTATCTTGTGACGATATAAGAAAAGAATATTCAAACAATATACACATAATATAGCAATGGCCAATTGGCTGACTATAAGGTCATGGCCTGAACAAACAATTTTTTTTTAATAGTCAAGTGATGCTAAAGCAGAGCACAAATATGTAATAAGTTAATAGATAAAAATACTGATTCAATGTTTAAAATTATAGCTGTGAGTGTCAATAAATTACTGTGTCATAAAAAAAGGAACGATGTACACGTGATCTGAGATACCAATATCTCAATATCAAAAGGATAGTGTCTAGAAACATTCATAGTCCATGGTGGCAGGTATCAAATTAAACGAAGTTACACTGACTGGCAATGTATACGATTGCCGTCTCCCTCTCTCACCCCTGACCGCTATCAGGGTGCTCCTGAGGATTGAGAATCTAATCCTGGAATTAAACAGGAATTAAACAGGAATTAAACAAAATTGGGTCAAACGGCAGATGCCGTGTCTGACCAATATAGGAATAGAAGGTTTAATATTCAAAACTACCCCAAAGTAACAAATAACCAAACAAGGTGGTAAAAGTAGATAGCCATGTGAAAGAATATAGCACAGATAGCACAGTCGTATGCAGAAAAAAACTCAGCCAAGAGCACTCAACAATGACCAAGAAAGTATCATACAATGTCCACACACTTATCAAAATATACAAAACACGACATTCATTCAGTATTTTTCTTCGGGAACCTCCGTTCATCGACCTATTTAAAAACCGTCCAATGTCTCTAATAGTTGTTGAGTCGTCGAAGATTTCTCCCGGTTCTTCTCTCATTACTAACAGGTCCCTCGTTCGTTGATGCAGGTTTTTGCGTAGGTCTTCGTATAGGGGGCATTCGTAGAGGATGTGATGCTCATCTTCTATCACTGGATAGGCCCCTGGTAGCTCATAGAGAAGATCTAACAAGTCATCGTCACTTGAGCAGCAGTGTCTGCAGGCCCGATGTTTTATGTTAAACCGCTTTTCGCCGTAGCGACCAGAAATCCTGGTGCGCATGTAACACATAATAGCCGCATAGTCTTCTCCTCTCTTCTGGGATAGTTTTTCAGCGAGTCTCTTGTGGTATCTTGTGACGATATTGAAGCAGGGATACGAGCTGGAAAGGGATGGCACCGTCAATAAATATCATATTGTGTATTGCTATATCATCACAACTTATTGCTACTATTCTTACCGTAACCTTGACATTAACCATGATCATAACCTTAACCCAAAATTAGGTTATTGAGTGTTAAATGATTATGGGCCTTGCCTAAAGATCAAAATTCTTATCTTGTTGTTATTGATTAAGCAGAGTACATTTTATGTTTTATTTTTTGATTTCCCTAATGATGTGTGACCGATCTAGTAATACAACAATATTTTTCCTTGGGATACAGTGATGACATAGGAGACTTGATGCTCCAGGATGAAGATTTTCTAAGTTGTGTCATGTTCAGTTACAGTTCCAATAATCACTTCATTTAAGAGTGAGTCGGTCCATTGGTCAAATTCCATCAAATCCAATGAAATCGACGTCATTAAATTTCATTCATCTTTAATCTCTGCTATGTCAAAAATTACCGAATATAGGCTTTAAAGATTGTTTGGTATGACTGTATTGGATTTTCAGATATAATCTTTATCATCAGTTACTGTTCTGCAGTAAACTTCTTCAATCAATGTTTATTGTATATTGGAAACTTCAGATTGTTTGTATATTTGGAGTCTATAGAATTTCTATGGATTTTTTAAGGAATTTTTATTGAGTTTTTATAGAATTTTTAATATATCAGGGAATTTCATTTTTATAAACCTGATTTTTAAATTTGTTAGGCTGTTGAGTTTCATACTGCGATTTCTTGTAGTCATTATCCTTTCCTCTAGTCCTCTGTTAGAAAACCTGCTAACCCTTCTTGGATATCTGCTTGTTAGGTGCATCTGCCTTATTTAGTCACGTTATATTTTACAGTTTTTATCGCCTGTTTTCTGAACAGTTTCTTGTTCCACCTCCGTCTAAGGCAAAGATGCACACTCTCGTTAATTTAAGTATCATTTACAGCTGTGCATAAGGGTTAAATTTAAATTATTTAACCTTTTGGTGCTGTATAAAAATAACATTAATTTATTATTATTATTATTATTAAAGTGATTCCAATCCTAGTCGTCATTCAAACGATCTGGTGATAACTTCAGCAATGGTCACTGTCCAGTAATCACGATAACCAACTTCATCATTAAACCAACCATCTAATAGATTGTCAATGCATCACTCGATTTAAATGAATGTACTTATTGTTAGAGTGACCTTTTTCCCTTAAATAAAGTTAAGTAAAGTTATGTAAACCTTACAATTTAATCTATTTAAATTGTACGGTTAACATTTTAAAAGTCTTAGTAGAATTTATTATAAATTTCTTTTCCTTGGTAGTGCAGCTCATTGACAACTTGATATGCCTTTCTTTTTACAGTATGACTACTTTTCAATTCTGTCCACTCTTTGACCGTCGTTCTCAGTAGATCAAATTACAAATTTTGTTGAGCATGTTATGTTATGTTGTTAGAATCTGTAAGTTAACTCCAACAGGTCATATCTTAAATGTCATTGCCTCACTATTTTTTCAACCAGATCAACTTACTTCATTCAGTTGATCTCCATGACCTTTCAGTACTATTATATTTTAAGAGTACTCTTAACTTTATAATGAGAACAATTTGTATTCACTCTACGGGTCGAGTACTGAGTAGTTCATTGCTCAACAAATTTGTTAAATCAGAGCTGTTTCATTAACTGGTGTGTCATATTTTCACTTTCGCATGTAACTATTGAAGTTCAATGACGAGTGACGACAACTCGTTGTTATTAATATCACATATACCCTCGTCTGAATGAGTAAACGATATTTTAAAAGATTCCACGTTTACTGTATCCTTAACCATTAAATCATACTTACAGGCACCTTCAATATGACTAATCCTCATGGAAAGCGACGTGGAACCAGGGACATGTTTGCCCGTGACTTCAGGAAACGTGGTCTGATCCCTCTGTCAACCTACATGAAAGTGTACAAGAATGGAGACATTGTTGACATCAAAGGTTGTGGTACTGTCACAAAAGGTATGCCATACAAAGTGTACCATGGAAAGACCGGCAGAGTTTACAACGTCACTAAGAGGGCTGTTGGTGTTATTGTGAACAAGCGAGTGAAGGGACGAATCATGGCCAAGAAAATCAACCTCCGAGTAGAACATATCCGTCATTCCAAGTGCAGAGATGATTTCCTCAACAGAGTAGTAAGGAACGAGCTTGTAAAGAAGGAAGCTAAAGCTTCAGGAATCTTCGTATCCACCCGACGAGCCCCAGTTGTCCCCAGATCAGCACATACAGTGAAAGGAAAGGGAATCTCAGTCGAAGAAGTGTGCCCAATTCGATATGAATTCATCGCCTAAATTTTTTGATTTTTTTTAACTTATGGAAATTTCGTGTTTTATTTTGTCATTCAATAATTACTCTAAATCCTGCAAAAATTAAAGTTTTTAGAACGTAACTAAATATCAAATAAGAAAATAATGCAAATGTAAATCAAACCTGCAAATGCTGCTGTAGCTGCTTTCCTGTCAAGACTTGATTAGGTTATCCTATCTAATGATTATTCTAGATTTTTAGCCATGATGGAAGCTGAGATGAGTAACGATGCAGGAGGGGTACCTGCTCCCACTAACGAAGAGAGGGTAGCTACAGTTACTGCAGTCGACCCAAGCGCACTTACTCCAACTGCTATGAGGGGTCTCAGGGACATCGGATCACAGGTTAGAAGTCATGGGAATTAGCGACTGTTTAGCATCAGGTTTAGCATCATGTTTCCTTGAAATTATTGTTTTCTTAAACTCCTAAAACGAACCTTTCGATCGTCAAATTTTGTAATAGTTCTGTGTTCGATCTCTCAGCGACCATTTACTATCCTGCATATTTCATAGTTGTCTACTTTCCAGGCAACTTGGTGGCTGAGCACATGTAAACCGGGCTTTGGTGTTGATCATCTCAGAGACAACTCATTAGAAACATACTGGCAATCTGATGGACAACAGCCTCACTTTATTAACATAAACTTTAAGAGGAAGACAAGTGTTAAATCTATATGTTTTTATGTGGACTACAGACAGGATGAGAGTTATACTCCTTCCAGAATATCTGTTAGGTAAGAACTCAGCGCAAATCAATTGACTTCTTACACTTTTTAAGTTCACACATTTCCGAAGTATTTATTAGATCTCCGTGCCGTACTCTTGTTTGAATTCTATCTTGATTTTAACGATATGAAGTTATAATATCGTATCAAACAGGGTCGGTAACAACATGTTAGACCTAGTTGAAGTTGCTAAAGTGGAAATGGTGGAACCTTCCGGCTGGATTAATGTCGACTTGGATTCTGGGAAAGACGATTCAGTCAGGGCCTTCATGTTACAGGTAAATTTATTTTGAATGCAATAGTTAATTATCTGCGTAGTTTCTCGGACAAGCTTGCGCTGTACGACACCTTTATTTAATTTCCTACTAAGAAATTAGTTCCGACGAAATTGCGTTATTCTGAACCGGAATACATTTGTTTCATCCAAAACTAAAGTAACTGGTTCTGGTAGCGATATTATCAAACCACCAGAACATCCAAAACTAAAGTAACTGGTTTAGGTAGCGATATAATCAGTTATTCTGAACCGGAATACATTTGTATCATCCAAAACTAAAGTAACTGGTTTAGGTAGCGATATAATCAGTTATTCTGAACCGGAATACATTTGTTTCATCCAAAACTAAAGTAACTGGTTTAGGTAGCGATATTGTCAGTTATTCTGAACCGGAATACATTTGTTTCATCCAAAACTAAAGTAACTGGTTTAGGTAGCGATATTATCAGTTATTCTGAACCGGAATACATTTGTTTCATCCAAAACTAAAGTAACTGGTTTAGGTAGCGATATTATCAGTTATTCTGAACCGGAATACATTTGTTTCATCCAAAACTAAAGTAACTGGTTTAGGTAGCGATATTATCAGTTATTCTGAACCGGAATACATTTGTTTCATCCAAAACTAAAGTAACTGGTTTAGGTAGCGATATTATCAGTTATTCTGAACCGGAATACATTTGTATCATCCAAAACTAAAGTAACTGGTTTAGGTAGCGATATTATCAGTTATTCTGAACCGGAATACATTTGTTTCATCCAAAACTAAAGTAACTGGTTCAGGTAGCGATATTATCAGTTATTCTGAACCGGAATACATTTGTTTCATCCAAAACTAAAGTAACTGGTTTAGGTAGCGATATTGTCAAACCACCAGAACGGACGAGACACCCACCTACGACAGGTAAAAGTGTACACCCCGGCCCTCTCAACACCCTCCCAACTCAACCTCAACTTTACCAGCCCTCTACTCGCCCAGTTCAGGGACCTCAAGTAGATCAACGTGGTGGTGAAACGAGCGTTTGTTGTTAGTGTATGGTCTGCTCTGTCAGGTTTGTTTGATTGAAGACTCTGTTTTTTGTTTTTCAATAAGTTGTTAGATGATTACAAGCTTGATCTTATATGAAAGACCGTGATCTAGAGATGCGATTATGATAACTTTTGCACTGTTTTGTTTTTTAAAACCATTTAACTATTGATTGTTAATAAAGATCGTATTACAGGTACACTGGCACAGGGCCGGGCCTAATGTTGTTCAGTGATTACAAGTGTAGTTTGTCTCTCATTCTTTCTAAACTGCTGAAATTCCAGGTACATAAAACAAACATATTACACATAATTTCATCAATTATGAAATTTTCATTTATGAATTTTTATTTTCATAGCCGAATATACCAATTTCACATTTAATTAATTAATTTATTTTAACGTCTACAGTCTAAATAAAAACTGGCCCTTGCAGGTACATTCAACTTCTGACCTTGGATTATCTGATTTGTAAGCTCAGAAACAATACAGTAGAGATATTAGAAGCAAAATCTATTAAGATCTACAGTCTACATACTGTGCGGAAGATACCAAACATTCTTTGATTTCATTGATTTGGGATTGACTTCAATATCAGAATACGATTTGACATTTATTAATAAATTTGTCTTGTGAACTTGTGGCCGTATCAGATGCCATTATATCCAATCATTATAATGATGAGTTAATATTTAAGTTTTTGTTGCTGGTGGATTTTCCTCTTTTTGTATTTCATAAAAATATAAATGTTTATATGACGTCATTGGATATTTATTTTTATTACGCTGTTTGTTATTTGACTTTTTCATTGCCAATATTGTTCGAATTTCTCCAAATTGTATTTCAATAAGCTGCTTACTTTGACTAAAAAGAAAATTGTTTATCAAGATTATCAAGAATTCAGTTCTTCAACGATACCATAGTTATATTAACGTTATACTAGTTTTACAATTTTTACAATTCTCACACCTATAATATAGGATATATAAGATGGGATCAGACAGGAGGAGATCCCCTGACCGGGGTGGACGAGGTGGTCCCATGAGAAACAACAGACGTAACGACAACCCTGGTGGACCCCGAATGGTTCCCTACACTCCCAAGAGGATCAAGGGTAGTCCCAATAAGCGGTGTTATGTCAACAACCTGCCTTACGATCTCAAGTGGCAGCAGTTCAAAGACCACATGAAAGAAGGTAATTGAGTCGGATTTTAGGTTTGAATTTGTAAAATAAGCAGGCTTCACAGATTATTAAATGCATTACATAACATCCAAATAGTAAAATTGAGAGCACGACTTAAAATCGTCTAACAATTCCTTTTCTCAGCTGGTAACGTTACATTTGTGGAGTTGTTTGAAGACGAAGGTGGTAAGAGTATGGGATGTGGCCTGGTGGAGTACAGCACTCCCGAGGAAGCTAAGAAAGCTATTGAGTCACTCAATGATTCCAAAGTCAACGGTCGCGAAGTCAAAGTTAAAGCTGTGAGTTTACTTTCCGTTATTAATCGTCAGACGTCAATTTTAGTAAATCTCAAGTTTTGTTTCCTCGCACAACCGCCAATTTATTACTAAGACTCCACGATGCAGGGTATTATAAGTTATAACGGAGTCTTTAATTTATGTATTTCTAACGCTGTTCTTAAATTCAGGACGAAGTAAGGTTCTACCCCAAAATTCCTGACCCAATTGGACCGCCTCCTCAAATGGGTGGACATGGACATGGACACGGACACGGACATGGTCCGATGGGACCTGGGCCAATGGGTCCCGGGCCAATGCATCCCATGGATATGGGGCCTCCTCCTATGCAACAACAAGCTGTCAGCAACGTCGTCTTCGTTAGCAACGTGAGTTTAAAATGGTTTTTCAATTCTGTGCTGGATTTGTATAATCGATACCGTACATAATAAGATCAATTTCTATCGTTCCTATTTACAAACTAACTAAAAATGGTACAAGCATAAGCATCTGAAAACTCCCACCCCGCAGCTGGCCTACGAGATCACACCCAAGTTCCTGCGAGACCAGTTCCGTGGAGCAGGCGAGATACTGCGAGTAAATCTGGAGCGAGACAAGGAAGGAAAGAGCAAAGGGTTCGGAACGGTCACGTACGCTTATCCTGACATGGCGCTCAGATGTATTGACATGTTTAATCAGAAGAGTATCAAGGGACGCAGACTTAGTGTTCGACTGGTCAGTTTTAATTGCTTGTTATTTCATCTGCTTTATCCCATTTTAGGCATGTGTCCTATTATCGGAGTGCTGTTCGTGCATTTCAAATAAATAAATAAAAATGTGAACACCTTTTACTCTAATTTTGATTCCAATATGTTTCAGGACAAGTTGACTTCAGTCAGTGTACCGGGTCCTATGGGACCAGGCCCTATGGGTCCGGGTCCAATGGGTCCAGGTCCTGGTCATGGTCATGGTCACCACATGGGTCCAGGACCAATGGGTCCAGGTCCTATGGGTCCTGGACATGGCCCAATGGGTCCATCCTCGATGGGACCAGGCCCTATGGGACCAGGTCCAATGAACCATGGCCATGGTCACGGACCCAACCCTATGGGACCGAGCCCAATGGGAAGTTCACACCAAATGGGTCCAGGACCAGTAGGTCACGGCTCGGGGAGTATGGGACCCAGCAGTGGTTCAGGAGGTCCTGGACCTGTTGACCAGCCTAGTGGATACGGACAGCAGTCTGGAGGTTACGGAGCTAGTCCTGCTGCTGGATCTGACCAGCAGTCTAAACTACTACAGGTAACATATACTAAAATAGAATCGTATACTTGGTATCTTGATAACGTTTAAAATGTTTCTTGCTGCTCAAAATGTCGATGGCCTAACATATGCAATATATTAACACTTTTAAATGATAAACTAAATTGCTACCACTCCCAGAGTATTGGACTCGCAGCTATCAGCTCCATGCTAGGAGGCACAGCTAACCCTATGTTATCCAACTTGATCAATAGTGCGGGAGCTGCTGACGTCAGGGGTGGTTCCTCTAGTGCTCTAGAGAACCTTCTAGGAAGAGATACCATGGAAGGTTTGATGATTTTAATTTGCTTTTCTCATTTTAATTGTCTTCACAATTTCCACACACATATAATAAAGTCCTTAACCTTTGATTTGTTGATTATCCGAACCCCTTAACTTACTTTCAAATCCTATAACATTTCTAGGTCTGCTGAAGACGCAAAGTGTGGGAGGATCAGCAGGTGGTGGTGGTGGAAGTGGTGGAACTAGCGGTGGTGGTGGAGGTGGTGGTTATGGTGCTAGCTACTCTTCTAGCACCCCTTACGAGTCCTCTTCCCGATCAGAACATAAGGACTACTCCAGGTGAGGATTTAACTCCTTATCTGAATAGTGAACCCTACACAACCTGTTTAACAGTTTGTTTAAAAGCTGGATAATCAGAAATCTGCTGACCGAGTATAAGACAGTTCTCCACCCCTCAGTAACAACTCTTACCCTTTCAGCAGTGGTCGGGATCGTGAGGAGAGGAGATCAGACCCGTACGGAGAGGCCAGGAGCTCTGGTAGACACAGTCCTGATCGATACAGCAACAAGTACCGAGAACAAGTCTCCTCTAAAAACCAGATATTTGTCAAAAACGTGAGTAAGGATAGTTTATTGGTCCGTGGTGGTCGGTGACGGTACAATCCATGGTGCTAATCTTAGAGTTAAATTGAGCTTTAGTTTATGGTGGTCCTCGCTCGGTCTGAGTTATAAATGTTCGGTTTGTTGTCTGAATCCAAATGTCCTTAGAATGTTCCGGCAGGTTTTATTTAGATCATGAATTGAATTAATATTGATTGATCCGATCCAGCACAAAATTCTATTCTGTGACTGTTTAGAATATCAGTTTTCGATCATAAACTGTTTAAATTCTTCGTAGATTGCAGTTCCCTGAAATTCAAATGTGGGCATCTTTATCATGGTATCAATGCACTTCAAGATTCCAAATTTACAACCTCCCAATTGAACTATTTGAGATCGTCACATATTTTCGCTAATTTAGGTTTTTAACCTCCATTTAAGGTAAATAAAATGTCGTAACTTAATTTATTATATAATGACTTCCCATTCAAACTAACACATTTCCCTTGTTCCTAGATTCCCTTTAACATTGGAACGCAACAACTCCGAGATTACTTTAGACATTGTGGTCACATAGTTGATTGCTCCATTTTGATGGAAAAGGATGGTCGTAGCCGAGGGTGCGGCACTATTAGATTTGAAAGTGCAAGCGATTGCGAGCGTGCAGTCAGTATCCTTCATTGATAAATCAACCAAATTTCTACTTTCTCTATTTTTAGGAAAATATTGTTTAGGCAGATCAATTTTTGATCTGAATTTTGTAAACTATATCAAAGTTTGAGTCTGTTCGATATTGAACATAAACTTGAAGACAAATAATAGATAGGTAGAGAAGGTTAATGTTCATAAAACAACTTTCGCTGTAAATGCTGACGCCAGTCTTTTCTCATCTACCCTAATTTTTAATTTAAACCTGGAATAATTTGCACATCATGCTACCCAAATCGGGATCAGAACTTTCATCAATTCGAATGATTCGGATTTTACCTTGTCATATCAATATCATGTCATACATTTTGGTCCGCCACTTATTTCCAATGATGAAAGTTGAATATCAGTACTGAATATCAACAGTTTTATCGATTATATTCATATTGAAGGTTCTATTTATCAGAAATTTTAGCCTTTTCTCTGATCCAATCTTGCTGAATAATTCAGTGAAGATACGATGAAAATTTTGTGAGCGCAATATTCTCCTGTGGCTGGCTGATATAGATGGTTATATAAGTTTTTATTATGGTTGATAAGAATTTGCTATTGAAGCACAGAAAATGGGTCTTACGTATTAAATGGTAAATTGTGCTTTAAGTATGGGGGATTCAAGGCGACATTTATAATCCTCCGTCTGAATTTCATTCGATATCCAAGAGGTATTGTTAGGCAATATCTTGAGTCAGATTTACCTATCTGGTAGTGTATTGGGTTATGGAACTATAACTCTTAAAAAGCATATTCTATTCGATTATCATCATCTGTCCACTCGAGGTGATCCAGCGGTATTTTCCTCGCCTAAAAGTGATGCTACCATGTTGACATTTCCCTATGAGTCAGGGACTACAAGTTGATTATCACCAAACTCTCTAGCCATATTAGCAAGCAACATGTATCTTAATAATTCTGAGGTATCAGCCAGCCACAAGTTTCCCGTGCATTCCTACAATACAAAGGCGCGTTTTGCTCGTTTTATTTTCGCGTTAAGTGTCGCCCAGTTTTACCTGTCAATACATTTCCAGAAGTTTTTCTTAACTCCGAGATTTAGATATGTTCCACAGATCCCATCTACAAGGTCGAGAGATCGAGGTCAGGCTTGACATTTAGATCTAGATAGCATCTAGATAGTATCCCGGAGATCTTACACAATACCCCCTACATCTGGTATCTTGTGGCATCTTATATATATCCTCAATCCTCATCTGACGATCTATTTATCATATACCTACCGAACAGTTCCGTAAATTAATCTTATCTGATAAGACTTGAATCACATAACTTTATTGTTGCCGGACTGCTGTAACCAGTGTTTGATGTTGTTTTACACGTTCCCCGCTGACACCTGTTTTTTTTCATGATCTTTAAATCATTATTATGTTTAAAAAGCTGAGTATGTACATAATATTTGTCATGAGTTGGTCTCATTATTATTATAAGTACAATTCTATCATTGCTGTACACTGAAGATGTTAGAATCTAGATTCGTCTTCATTTTTCTATGTTAGATATGGTACATTAGTTAACATGACCGATGATGCAGTTGCGTTTTGAACGAAGTTGAGAATTTTGAAGGAGTAACTCAAAACGTGTGTATTGCTATGAAATTAATATTATATTGTAACATTTATTTTATCTACGTTTATAGTTAACAGTTAACTAATCTAAAATGTATAACATTCTTCACTATTTTAATAATTCATCCATTTATACAGTTGTATTACTTCGAATGATCATAAGATCTTCATATCGAATATAAAAAAGTTAAGTTAGTTATAAAAAAAATAGTCATTTCATGACAATTCTCCAATCAGTAAACGTAATAGCATATTTTTGTGAAACTCGGCTGGTACAGGATGAATTGCAATTGTTCAATTCTAATCCAATTGAAGGAATTGAGCTATATCCAGTTTTGAACATCTTGAAATCCACCGGTTACATTATCTAGCTCACCATTTTCAAAGCATAAATGTTCCGTAACTTTGTCTCAAATGTCAGTCTGGAATATTCCCCAAGTTCGGTTAAATTCCAAATATTGAACTAAAATAGTGGACGCTGGGATTTACTTTTAGATAATAGACTAGTAAGTAAATTACATTGTTCGAGAGTTTTAGCTTCACAATTCAAACATCCCAATTAAACGTCCCTGGATCTTTGAACAAGAAGGAAGGACATGCTCTTCAGATTTAGCAAGCCTGTGTTCGCATTTTAGCGCCGCTCTAAAAGGTTTCTTATTCTTTACTATTCAGAGAACAGGTAAATTCATCCCATTTTAATTTAATCTAGCTTTCTAGTCTGTTCTTAAAGGCCCGGTTTGGCATTGGAGCAAGATTTAAAACTCGATTTCTGATTCAAATTTGACGTATTAAGTAGTCTCATTGACAATTCCATGCCCATTTTGAATTATACAAAGTATACTACACTTTTCACTGTACAATTATTTATTAAGCTTAAATCTAAATTTCTCAGTGACGGTGATATTATCAACAAACCTGTTATTTTGCAGTAATTCTTCCCTAGAAGTTAACCTAATCTGCTCACGAAAGCCCATCTGGTTAGTTTTATAAATTAACTTTTTCATTAGTTGTTCAATCTACAGAAATTCAAAGTTTAAACTGTCATTCTTAGAAATTTAAATGTGGATATGTGGTTATAATATCTACTCGGTTAATAACGATTTCCTGATCGTGTCATCTTCAGATTTAAGTTACGAACGATTGACCGAAACTGAGACTTCAACTTTTGTTCTTGAAAAGATGCTGAGTCCAGTAAGTGCTTGCTATATTTCTGATAGACATTTTATCAGCAATTTTTTGTGCGTAGTTATTCTTCACAGTTTCTGTCTTGATAACGAATCATGGGCTAGACTGAAGACTTGAAACCTTACATTTCAGAATCAATTCAAACGATAAAAACCGTGAATGACGAAGACTCAATGCAAATAACTGCACACAGAGGAACTTTCACGATCCAGTAGCTCTACAAATAACTGTTCATTTATTCGACCCTGAACCGATGATCGGACTACAATGATTTAGATACATGTATATATGCACAATGAATAAATTGTTCTTTCGGTTTATACATGAATAAAATCATTTTTGGCTTGGATTTTGCATAAGATAATCTGTATTTGGAGACATGCATTATTGTCATGTTAGCTATTTAATTAAGTTAATAATAACTTTTCGATTTTGTTAACTATTCGAATCTATTGTACCACATTTCCTATTCGGTCCAACGTGACACTGTTATATGCGGACGGCGCGATGACAAAACTGCTGAAAGAACACTTATTTTACGCATTCAGAGGCTACTTTTTGAGCCGCGCACGTACCTTTGTCTCCGTCTAACGATAGTTTAAACTGTAAGCTGACCGGACCCGCACTGGTTTTGTTTTTAACCATTGTCACATTAATCGTACATCGGTTTTCGACCTTACTCATCCCTGTAATGTTCCTAAGCTAAAACAATGTCCTTTGAAGTTATGTGCATTTAGAACCCCTCTAAGTAGGTCTGCAGTTACCAATTGCGACTAATTACCAAGTCAGCATTAACAAGTGTTAGAAAGGAAGATCAGTTTTAGCAACAAGTGGTTTAAGTACTATTGTCACCACGAGAATCATAAGTTTCGTACGTAAAATTTCTCCAGATCTTAAGAAATCGGCGGTGCAGCAGCTAAAATTAGGGTAAAACTGAACATATGGAGTTTACAATTAGGGACCATCTACTTAAGACGTCCGCCAAAATCTCAGATTTTCAGACCCCCCCCTGTCCGAGTGTGTCCGAATTTTCAAAACCACCCCCTCTCGGATTTCAGTTACTTTTAAGAGTACAATTAAAATAAACTAAAATCCAAAGAGTTTAAATAAATGAGACTTTTTCGTCAATTTTGCCAAAATTTCCGGATTTTCAGAAACCACCCCCTCCCCTGTCCGGATTTGTCCGAAATTCCAAAAATCCCCCCCCCCCCCCCCCCTATTTGCCGGATGTCCTAAATAGATGGCCCCTTAGTTACTGAATTACGGATGGTATATTATATCACGATTGCATATATTAGTAATTAGTGAAGAATAGAATTAATCGAAGACATCAGACGACTAGCCACGCTATCGGTTTACTTTATTCAGCAAAGAAATAACAAATATTTGTTCATTAATGTTACAAGTTTAACCAAATAATACAGTAAAACTTAAAATTGTCATCTACAAAACTTCCAGCTGATCGGCGCACAAAAGGGGGGGGGGTCAACCTCATTTTACCTCATTTCGGGCAGCCAAAAAAGGCAAAATTGGGATGAGGTAAATTAATCTAGTTTTCTGAGCCTTTTTTTTAGAGACAAAAAAGGTTTATTCGAAGTCATTATACTATAATTCGAGGCTGTGCATGGTTTCCCATGATATTTAATGGTTTATTAGGGCCTAGGGATGATAATTAATCACTCGACTGTCACGTGCTTTTTTCAACCCGTTCTCTAGCTGGTCCTGAACGACTATTCGAAACCTTAACCCTCTTATCTGATCCCAACCCTAACCCTAACCCAATCCTTAACAAAAGCATATGCTGAAACCCTAACCCTAACGAGAAATTAGACTAACTTCCTTATACGGTCATATCACGTGATCGAGACAGTTTTTCGCCTATATCTCGTCAGGGGAGCATTTTTAACCCTATGTCATGGGGGGTGATTCGGAATCAGCGTCCGAAAATACATCGATTGAAGTTGGTTTCAACTGTCGGTACGCTCGGTGATGTGGTCCTTGGGAAGGGGCATTCCCAGTTTAACCTAATCATGATTATAAAATTTTTGCCGAAATTTACCTCATTTTACCTCATTCGGGCAGCCAAAATTGGGATGAGGTAAATAGTCTAGTTTTTAGAGACAAAAAAGGTTTATTCGAAGTTATTATACTATAATTCGAGGCTGTGCATGGTCTCCCATGATATTTAATGGTTTATTAGGGGTTATGTGGTCCCTGGGAAGTGGGAAGGGGCATTCCCAGTTTAACTTAATCGTGATCTATGATCTATAAAAATTTTTCCGAAATTTACCTCAATTTTCCTCATTCGGGCAGCCAAAAAAGGCAAAATTGGGATGAGTTAAAATGAAGTTGACCCCCCCCCCCCCCCACAAAACAAAAAATAAAATAGAAAACATGGCTCTAGCAGTTTACCGGTGACAACCAATTGTAGGTTCACAACCTACTGAGACTAGCGCCGAGTTGGACTTTTCGACCGTCTTTGAAAAATATATTTTACGAGAATCACCCGTTAAAATTAAACCAGAATGTACAGTCCTTGGTTCTGTCTGTGACCAATCACAAATTGAAATTAAAGAAATAATTTGCCAACATAACAGGATAAACTAACTTTCAAAAAATTGTACTAACATGTTGGATTGTTTCGATTACCCCAGCACTCCGGATTTTATGTTCATAAACAACCAACTATGGCGAATGGCAGGCTGAGCGCCGCCCAGTATCGTTTTGAGAGTTTTACGATAGAATTAGAAACTAACTCAAGAATTCAATTGGCTCCAACACCAAAACAATAATACAACTATGACATATAAGGGGGGATGACACGTCTCCAATGTCTCCCGCACCTTATCTTTTCGAAAAAGACAAAGACATTGGAGACACAGCTTTTGGAGACATTGGGGACATTGGAGGCACATCTTTTGGAGACATTAGGGACATAAAATGGATATTAGGGGCATTGGAGACATTGGAGACACAGCTTTTGGAGAGATTGGGAACATTGGGAACATAAAATGGATAGTAGGGGCACTGGGGATATTTTGAAGTTTGTGTCTCCAGTAATCAACGTATCCCTAGTTCAGTGCCCCTACTATCCATTTTATGTCCCCAATGTCTCCAAAAGCTGTGTCTCCAATGTCTCCAATGCCCCTAATATCCATTTTATGTCCCCAATATCTCCAAAAGCTGTGTCCCCAATGTCTCCAAAAGCTGTGTCTCCAATGTCTCCAGGACACGTCTCCGCACCCTATCTTTTCAAAAAAGACAAGAGACATTGGAGACGTTGGAGACGTGTCATGCCCCCCTATAAGCGATGATTTGAACCTTGCAATCCCAATTTATGTTTCAAATTTAAGAGTCTATGCTCAATTAGGGTAAATTTGTTCAATGACTCTTAGACAAGGACTAAGATCAATCTTAGTGTGATATGAGCCAGTAGATGTGTTGCAGATCACTTCCTTCGCGTTTTCATCCATGAAGACAAGGTCGTCGTTTATACACGTGACAACATATTTGTAGTCGTCGGATTCAGCAATTTCAACCTGAAAATGACATCGTTGACTCACTGAGTGTGGATAGAAAATGGACTAATCAATTCGGGAAGAAGAACATATTTATATTCAAATTTTAAACTACCTAATAATTAACGGGTGATACTCGTAAAATATCTGTTCGACGAGTCCAACTCGGCGCGCGTCCTGGTAGGTTGTAAACCTACAACCTAATAATACATCTGTATAAAACTGACCTTTTTCAAAAGTGTATTTGGGGGCGTACGAGGTGGTTTACAGCGTAGTTTGATCCTTAGGTTCGTCTCGTCAGTACTGAATTCGAATCCAGTCTCCAACTTGATCCTGATAGTTATATGATATATTATGGGCCGTTGAATTTGAATACATTTGTAATTGTATAATACTAATTAAGGGGGGGGGGGGGGGGGGGGGGTTCACCCTGATTTTTTTGTGAAACTTGGTTTCGAGATAGCAGTTGACCAACAAACTAGGACCAGTGACCGAACTTTTGAGGGGGTTCTGGACCCCAACCGCCGAACGGTGCCCGCAGGGTAGCCACGCCCAAATTAGGCCTAATTTAGCAAAATACCCTGAACATGCCCAAAACCCAAATTTTAGGTGCTCTACTTGTAGCTAGTGGTCCCTTGTCATACGTTGTATGACCCGCCGCGCACGAAGTGCGCGGCTCCCCCTGTATCGTCACCATAGTGAAACGACCGTGGGGGTCGCAACGTGATACAAGTGGTCCCTTGAACTCGTATATGAAGTTTCATTAAGATTGGACAAAAAATGACTGAGTTATGAGCCAAAAACCATATGACCATATTTGGGCATGCGCACCAAATTCAATAGATTTTGGCCCATAAATTAGTCAATTATCAATATTTTTGAATGAAACCAACTTTATATGGAAGGTAAGCCTATTATATATACTACACATTCTCTGTGATTATCAGCTCAGTATCTACCTAACTGTGGATTCTGTATTCAAATAATCGCAAAAAATGAACAAAATTGCCCATATCTCAGTTCGCGATATTTGCGAAACTGATTTCACTTAAAACAATAGAATTCAATAGGGTTTCAATATTTTTACATGAAATTTTCAGAATCAACGTAGAATCGCATTTCGATCTTAAGTTTTGTATTGAAATTTTGAGTTAGGCCTTTAAAACAATTTGGCGGCCAAATTCTAAAATTTGCCAGGCATTTTTCAGAATTTGGCCGCCAATGTGAACCCCCCCCGCCTTAATGTAGCCACTACTACTAGCCAACAACAGACGACGTTAATTTGGACCATGCCTGGAACTGGAAGTGGAAGTTGAATAAATTCAGAAAGTTGCTTTACGGCAAAAGAATTCATGATCAAATGTATAATCGAGATTTAATGTACAATACGCCGTTGAATGGATCATTCAAGGAATTTATAAGCTAGCACAGTTCGAATGACTTAAACCTGAAACTGTAATGACCACCGTCACAAAAGTAAACGTCCTCTAAACGATGTGAGATTGTGTAGGGACCTGATACTGCAGAGAAGTCTGGAAGGGATACTGGAATATCCTTGTTCCCTTCTGAGAAAGATATTATTATTGTCTAGTTACAAATACAAAACACAACTAACCTGTATTTTGTTTTTTTAATCTGTACATGAACCGGCTGTCTCTAAATTTGTTTTAAATGTGTTATTTTACCTGTACTATATTATCAATTTATTTAGTGTTGCCGCCAGCCGCAGCTATACTATATACTACTAGGCCTTCTGACTTCTGTTAATATTTTGGTAGAAGTTCAAACAGTGAACCACACAAATTAAAATTAAAAAAAAAAATGTCAATGAAAGTGAATTGTAACTGAAAAAGAACAACAAAGTACAAACCTTTATAGTGAAGGAATACACTCAATGGCTTTATGTCTCCAAGGACTGACATTGTAAAGAATGCAGTCGACTTTTCAAAAACGGCCTTCACTTTTGAAATTGTTGCTTGAGCTGACTTGACGCATATCATGTCACATGTTTGCTGTTGACCCGAAAGGAAAATTACTGCTCTGTAGTCTGAAAAATAAAATAAAAACAGACAACTTCAGATATAAAAATGCATTTTTTAATTTAATTTTGCATTCTGGGTTAAAACTTTATTAACTTCTATTTTCTAAAGATAGTTTATTCAAAGATCGATGTAATAATATAGGTTACTAGTGCCTGTGTAGATACAAGTTACAACGAACATAGTAAACAATAAAATGATAACTATAAGTATAACATCCTAAGATTAAATTATTGAAGAACCTATCGCATTTCTATACCTGCAACATCGCTAGAAGTCAATCTCTGAATGAAGAGTTTGGTAGACATCACACCTTTATCATCGATTGGAGAGATAAGTGTACGGTACTGCCACTGGTGATCCGATGGAAGACTTTCCCAATTTATTGACCCTCCATCTAGTAGTAATTATTAAAGTTTTTCAGTTTTGATCATTCAAAAAGTATTATAATTCAAAAATTACTAACATATAACTACGAACATAATTACTAAAGTAAAATTAGATAAAGCTTACTTACTTCTTTTCTGCCATGTGATCCTGACGTCGGATAAGTCTCTGGCAGTGAAATAAGTTGTCAAAATAGCTGGTCGTCCCACTGTTGCCAAAACTGGTGTTATGACAACTGCTTCACCTAAACGACGAGAAAGTTTACAAATGATATCCCAGAAAAAAAAATCTATAAATATCAGTATTACTCGAATTCCTTTATATTGTATCAATTATGATAGTATTCATAATATTATTCATATTGATGCAAATCAATATATTATTTATTTCGTTATTCGAATCTTTCTTTGATTATGGAACACAATATTGCAGGGAAATAATCGGAGACCGATCGTGAAAGTGTAGAAAATTAAATTATTGATGGAAATATCGAGTGGGAATCATTTTGAGGGCGTTGTGTCATTTTCCAAAGCATTAGGTAGAAAAGTTCAAAATAATGGAGTGCTGTAGGAACACAGAAATACTTGCCGAGCAACGAGAATTTCACTGTAACTGTAAGAGATTCTTGGACTGAATTCTGGATCCGGACGGAGTAATCACAAGTACCATGTTGTGAAACTAAATCATCTTTTGAGCCTGCTTCTATCATAGAATCAGAACTGAAAATAATTGAATCAATGATTTAATCACCCCTCCTACCCTCCTCCCCCTTCCCTATGAGATAATCAGGGAGGAATAATGCATCACAACACATACTTCATCAGCCTTAAATCAACTTACGTTACGGTTAATTGTGTCCGTAAAAACGAAAGTAGGATGGAAGCTATTTTTTTGATTGATAAATAATTTTAATCTTAACTTGTACTTTCTAAAGATGTTCTCACCTGCGAATGTGATAAACTTCGGTGAAGATTAACCCATCGGTTGATATTTTTGAATTTGTCGATTTACTAACAGGGTTGACCTGAGATATCGATAGTTAGAATTCAGTGTTATGTCTAGAACCTACGATCTTCACGAATGGTAGAACAAATGAAGCATGCCAGAAAATTTGTTTGAAATAATTAATTCTCACTCACAAGATCAAGAGAGCAATCCAAATTCCTTGAAAGCGGTGCTGAAGGTGCATGAGTTATAAAAGTCACCACTGCTCCTGTATCTGGAGTCAGGACTATTAAATCGAGGTCGCTGTCTATCCTTATTTCGTTCAGATGACTCATTGGTGTATCTACGATTTGTCCTGGGTTCGAGAGTTTTTTATTTAACAAAACTTTGAGGTTCTGCGTAAAGGTCATAAACCTTTAACTGACATGTTTCCACTTGAAAATTCTTTTATATTTAATAAACTAAATTTAATGGAAGCCTGATTGAGAATTTCTTTCTTTACCTGTGCTGTACTGGGCCCGGCAATAAAGATTTCCAACAGCTGCTGTGGAGTGAGCAACTATGATTTTCCACTGGACCGTTGTAGTGCCATAAACTTTCTCCGTCATTTTGAAGATGATAACATCATGGTGCTTATTATAGGTAAAACCTTTATTGTTTACAAACTTGCCATCCAACTTCCACCTTCGTGTTTTGACATTTTTAGTAAACATCGTATTATGATTTACCAGGACATTTAATTTGGATAGAAGTGAAATATATAGATATATCATGAAATTCTGGTTACTAGCATGAAAACTGGCCACAATTTTTGGTCCATAATTTGTAAATGAGATTATTCTGACTCACAAAATATTTTCCAATCAAGGCTGTCTAAGCTCATAGCATAAACTTACCGCAAATTATTCAAAATAGAATTAGTCATGTTAAATGGTACGGAACAGGTGACTTCTGATTCAGTCCCTGTAATGCCCCACACAGAATTGGGATATTGAGTCCCACTGACATTCACTCCAATCAAAATCACTTGGTTGCTCTGTAGAATTCGCTCTGCGATATGTGAGTGATATTCACGGATATATAATCGAATGAAAATCTTTATTTTCAGTGAAATTCTGTTTATACCATATTGCTGCACTCTGCAAAAACAGAATAGTATATAATTGACAAAATTAAGCTTACTGCTCGTTGTTTCTGTGTAAAAGGATCTCCAGGCCCCAACTGTAGAGTTGCTTACAATGATGCTGATTACGGAGGTCTTTGGAGAGTTGATAATATCCCTATGAGGAAAACATTTGAACAATGTTTGTAGTTAAATTCAAATCTGTTTATTTGTTAATTGATAGATATGGGTTAACAACTATTTCAGTACAGCAAAAACTGCGGTAAAATAAAAATACCTGCAAGTTTTAGTCAAACACAGAGAGTCATTGTGCTTCCACCAAAAGTGTCCTTCAGCAAACGAGGAGAAGAAATAAGAAGATTTCAGGTTGACTGTTGCTCCGTTGAAAGCTCTTATCTCTTGTTCTGGTGTCAGCAACAAACCTGTTGGTGGATGCTATTACATATATTGAAACTCTTGAGATATTCACACAATCTGCACTACCTAGTCGGGTTTAAAATTTACGGTCACAATAAAAAGTAAACACGCTCACGAACAAAGAGTGCATAAATTTGATCATGCAAATTCATAGCTCACAATTTAAACCGTTCATATAATTTTCAATAAAATATTCTTTATACTCTTACTTGTCAAATAAATCATTTTTGAAATCGATAGTGAATTCAACTGACTCATTTAAATCATTCTACGCCTCGACTGAGTAAAAGTCTAATAACAAAAAAAGGATGCAAAGTCTCTCTGATTTTTAAGATTGTTTCGAAATTAGAATGAAATATTATAATCTGTTGATTTAGATTACCATCGGTTTCTATTTCAACTTCCGAGTAAAAGTTATACTCTTGTCCATGGGCGAAGACTATGCAAGTGTAAGAAGCAACTTCGTTGGGAGGGTCTAATCGTAAAATTGTTGTTGTTGTACTATTTTGTAAGGTTTCTTTTCTTGTCTCTGCAAAAAAAAGTTAAAATGTTACATATGATATAATATTGATATCAATATTTATATAAGGCCAAGGGGGCACCAAGCTCAAAGTAGTGTTCCATAGAGTTACACAAAAACTTGGAATTTAACCTTCAAATATAGTATTTTGGTGTGACCAAGCAACTGTCAATGTGTCGGTAGGAAAGATCACAGTGCACTTCAATACTGCTGGGTCTCCTGTTCTAACATAATCATTGGTTGTACTGAAATAAGAAGTTGAATTCAATGGAAATTTAGGGAAATTGGAGTAGGTCAAAATTTAATACAACAATATGATATTGATTATGATTGGTCAAATGGAGATTTCAGTTTAAGAACGTATTATTTAATTCTACGCATTCTTTCATTTGCGCAATATTAAATAAGATTTTTGAACTACATTATTAAACGTACCGAACTGTGAAGGTTTTGAGAGCCACCAAGGTATCATCATATTGATCTTTTTCTCCTACTGAAATCCTACATGTGAATAGTTGATCGCCTAACAAAGTCACGTCAGCTAAAAGGATCATAGTAGACTCCTTCATCCCATCCTTTAGTGCTCCATCGCTGATAAATTGAAAGAGTCGGTAATCCATGACAACATCTACATTTGCAACAAATTATAAAACAGCAATATATCATATATCTGTATTAGGATCTCAAATATTCTATCATTTCAGTAATCGGTATATTCCAGTAATATAAAAGATTAACATATATGGCGTGCAGCTCTATAAAGAAAAATATAAAATATTACCTGACAGTCAAGTCAGAAATGTCTGAATCATGAGAGAAAAGTTTTCCTTTGTTGTCCACCCACTGAATATGTATCAAATTGGCAGCTGATCCTTTTATTGAACAAGTCAACGTTGATGCAGTACCTGCTAGCACGTCATAGCTTTTCACCATTATCTCTGAAATTAATACATCCAATATAAATAAAAATTTGCAGTTATTTAAAATACTACAATTTATGATTCATAATCCACGATGAATGTTTAACTGCAAGTGCAAGATTCAAATTCGTCCTTAAATCAATAACTGTATTGAAAAATGAGTAATGACACTGTTTGGCATTTAAGGGGGGGTTCACCCTGATTTTTTTGTGAAACTTGGTTTCGAGATAGCAGTTGACCAACAAACTAAGACCAGTGACCGAACTTTTGAGGGGGTCCCGGACTCCAACCGCCAAACGGTGCCCGCGGGGCAACCACGCCCATATTTGGTCCAAGTTAGGCCCAATTTAGCCAAATACCCTAAACATGCCCAAAATCCAGATTTTAAGTGCTCTACTTGTAGCTAGTGGTCCCATGAACTCGTATATGAATTTTCATCAAAATTGGACAAAAAATGACTGAGTTATGAGCCAAAAACCATATGACCATATTTGGGCATACGCACCAAATTTGATCGATTTTGGCCCATAAATTGGTCAAATATCGATATTTTTGAATGCAATCAACTTTATATTGAAGGTAAGCCTATACTACACATTATCTATGATTATCAGCTCACTATCTACCTAATTGTGGATTCTATGTTCAAATAATCGCAAAAAATGAATAAAGTTGCCAATATCGCAGTTCGCGATATTTGCAAAACTGACTTCGCTCAAAACAATAGAACTCAATAGGGTTTCAATATTTTTTCATAAAATTTTCAGAATCAACGTAGAATTGTCTCATGACCTTAAGTTTTGGGACAGAATTTTGAGTTAGGCCTTTTAAAAAATTTGGCAGCCAAATTCTAAATTTAGCAGTGCAAATTTTGGAATTTGGCCGCTAAATTTTTTTAAAGGCCTAACTCAAAATTCTGTCCCAAAACTTAAGGTCATGAGACAATTCTACGTTGACTCTGAAAATTTCATGAAAAAATATTGAAACCCTATTGAGTTCTATTGTTTTGAGCGAAGTCAGTTTTGCAAATATCGCGAACTGAGATATGGGGAATTTTGTTCATTTTTTGCGATTATTTGAACACAGAATCCACAGTTAGGTAGATACTGAGCTGATAATCATAGATAATGTGTAGTATAGGCTTACCTTCCATATAAAGTTGGTTTCATTCAAAAATATTGATATTTGACCAATTTATGGGCCAAAATCGATCAAATTTGGTGCGTATGCCCAAATATGGTCATATGGTTTTTGGCTCATAACTCAGTCATTTTTTGTCTAATCTTGATGAAAATTCATATACAAGTTCATGGTACCACTAGCTACAAGTTGAGCACTTAAAATCTGGATTTTGGTCATGTTCAGGGTATTTGGCTAAATTGGGCCTAATTTGGACCAAATATGGGCGTGGCTGCCCCGCGGGCACCGTTTGGCGGTTGGGGTCCGGGACCCCCTCAAAAGTTCGGTCACTGGTCCTAAATTGTTGGTCAACTGCTATCTCGAAACCAAGTTTCACAAAAAAATGAGGGTGAACCCCCCCCCCCCCCCCCTTAAAGAACATACCATAAACGTTAAGATTGACGGTGGTATCCGAGTGGCTGGAATCAGGTAAAGAACCGGAAGTTACTCTGCAAGTGTAAGCAGTATCTTCATTGACAAGAGTTCCGTCTACAGCAAGAGTTGATGTCTGTCTCCCTCCAGAGAAGCTTCCTTGGGCAGGGGTGAACTTTTCAGCTGGAACTGGTCCCGTACTAGTTCGCCAGGTTACTGTTGCTGTTTCAATAATTCCGATGATAACACAGGATATTGTTGTTGCAGAGCCTTTCTTTACTTCTTTGTTTACCGATTCAACGTCTGAAGTAAGTTTTGGTAATGGTACATTTACAAATTATGCAATTTAGAATGCTCGCATGATATGCATATTTATTATTTCATTGATATGATAATGACATATACTAAAAGTTGGCTGTAAGAAAGAGAATCGTATGGAATAAGAAAACTGCATTGCGAAATAACTTCAGTTTGAGGTTGAAGAACATACCATAAACGTTAAGATTGACTGTGATATCAGAGTGGCTGGAATCAGGTAAAGATCCGGAAGTTATTCTGCAAGTGTAGGCAGTATCTTCATTGACAAGAGTTCCGTTTACAGCAAGAGTTGATGTCTGTGTCCCTCCGGAGAAGCTTCCTTGGACAGGGGTGAACTTTTCAGCTGGAACTGGTCCTGTACTAGTCCGCCAAGTTACTGTTGCTGTTTCAATAATTCCGATGATAACACAGGATATTGTTGTTGCAGAGCCTTTCTTTACTTCTTTGTTTACCGATTCAACGTCTGAAGTAAGTTTTGGTAATGGTACATTGACAAATTTTACAATTTATAACACTCGTGTGATAATTATATTTCGTCGTCATGAAAATGATTTAAATTGAAAGTTGATTGTAATATATAAAATCGTATAAAAACAAAAAAACTGCATTGCAAAAGAACTTCAGTTGGAGTTTAAAGAACATACCATAAACGTTAAGATTGACAGTGGTATCCGAGTGGCTGGAATCAGGTAAAGATCCAGAAGTTATTCTGCAAGTGTAGGCAGTATCTTCATTGACAAGAGTTCCGTCAACAGAAAGAGTTGATGTCTGTGTCCCTCCGGAGAAGCTTCCTTGGACAGGGGTGAACTTTTCAGCTGGAACTGGTCCTGTACTAGTCCGCCAAGTTACTGTTGCTGTTTCAATAATTCCGATGATAACACAGGATATTGTTGTTGCAGAGCCTTTCTTTACTTCTTTGTTTACCGATTCAACGTCTGAAGTAAGTTTTGGTAATGGTACATTGACAAATTTTACAATTTATAACACTCGTGTGATAATTATATGTCGTCGTCATGAAAATGATTTAAATTGAAAGTTGATTGTAATATATAAAATCGTATAAAAACAAAAAAACTGCATTGCAAAAGAACTTCAGTTGGAGTTTAAAGAACATACCATAAACGTTAAGATTGACAGTGGTATCCGAGTGGCTGGAATCAGGTAAAGATCCAGAAGTTATTCTGCAAGTGTAGGCAGTATCTTCATTGACAAGAGTTCCGTCAACAGAAAGAGTTGATGTCTGTGTCCCTCCGGAGAAGCTTCCTTGGACAGGGGTGAACTTTTCAGCTGGAACTGGTCCTGTACTAGTCCGCCAAGTTACTGTTGCTGTTTCAATAATTCCGATGATAACACAGGATATTGTTGTTGCAGAGCCTTTCTTTACTTCTTTGTTTACCGATTCAACGTCTGAAGTAAGTTTTGGTAATGGTACATTGACAAATTTTACAATTTATAACACTCGTGTGATAATTATATTTCGTCGTCATGAAAATGATTTAAATTGAAAGTTGATTGTAATATAAAAAATCGTATAAAAAGAAAAAAACTGCATTGCAAAAGAACTTCAGTTGGAGTTTAAAGAACATACCATAAACGTTAAGATTGACAGTGGTATCCGAGTGGCTGGAATCAGGTAAAGATCCGGAAGTTATTCTGCAAGTGTAGGCAGTATCTTCATTGACAAGAGTTCCGTCAACAGAAAGAGTTGATGTCTGTGTCCCTCCGGAGAAGCTTCCTTGGACAGGGGTGAACTTTTCAGCTGGAACTGGTCCCGTACTAGTCCGCCAAGTTACTGTTGCTGTTTCAATATTTCCGATGATAACACAGGATATTGTTGTTGCAGAGCCTTTCTTTACTTCTTTGTTTACCGATTCAACGTCTGAAGTAAGTTTTGGTAATGGTACATTGACAAATTTTACAATTTATAACACTCGTGTGATAATTATATTTCGTCGTCATGAAATAGATTTAAATTGAAAGTTGATTGTAATATATAAAATCGTATAAAAAGAAAAAAACTGCATTGCAAAAGAACTTCAGTTGGAGTTTAAAGAACATACCATAAACGTTAAGATTGACAGTGGTATCCGAGTGGCTGGAATCAGGTAAAGATCCGGAAGTTATTCTGCAAGTGTAGGCAGTATCTTCATTGACAAGAGTTCCGTCAACAGAAAGAGTTGATGTCTGTGTCCCTCCGGAGAAGCTTCCTTGGACAGGGGTGAACTTTTCAGCTGGAACTGGTCCCGTACTAGTCCGCCAAGTTACTGTTGCTGTTTCAATATTTCCGATGATAACACAGGATATTGTTGTTGCAGAGCCTTTCTTTACTTCTTTGTTTACCGATTCAACGTCTGAAGTAAGTTTTGGTAATGGTACATTGACAAATTTTACAATTTATAACACTCGTGTGATAATTATATTTCGCCGTCATGAAAATGATTTAAATTGAAAGTTGATTGTAATATATAAAATCGTATAAAAACAAAAAAACTGCATTGCAAAAGAACTTTAGTTGGAGTTTAAAGAACATACCATAAACGTTAAGATTGACAGTGGTATCCGAGTGGCTGGAATCAGGTAAAGATCCGGAAGTTATTCTGCAAGTGTAGGCAGTATCTTCATTGACAAGAGTTCCGTCTACAGCAAGAGTTGATGTCTGTGTCCCTCCGGAGATGCTTCCTTGGACAGGGATGAACTTTTCAGCTGGAACTGGTCCTGTACTAGTCCGCCAAGTTACTGTTGCTGTTTCAATAATTCCAATGATAACACAGGATATTGTTGTTGCAAAGCCTTTCTTTACTTCTTTGTTTACCGATTCAACGTCTGAAGTAAGTTTTGGTAATGGTACATTGACAAATTTTACAATTTATAACACTCGTGTGATAATTATATTTCGTCGTCATGAAAATGATTTAAATTGAAAGTTGATTGTAATATATAAAATCGTATAAAAACAAAAAAACTGCATTGCAAAAGAACTTCAGTTGGAGTTTAAAGAACATACCATAAACGTTAAGATTGACAGTGGTATCCGAGTGGCTGGAATCAGGTAAAGATCCGGAAGTTATTCTGCAAGTGTAGGCAGTATCTTCATTGACAAGAGTTCCGTCAACAGCAAGAGCAGATGTCTGTGTCCCTCCGGAGAAGCTTCCTTGGACAGGGGTGAACTTTTCAGCTGGAACTGGTCCTGTACTAGTCCGCCAAGTTACTGTTGCTGTTTCAATAATTCCGATGATAACACAGGATATTGTTGTTGCAGAGCCTTTCTTTACTTCTTTGTTTACCGATTCAACGTCTGAAGTAAGTTTTGGTAATGGTACATTGACAAATTTTACAATTTATAACACTCGTGTGATAATTATATTTCGTCGTCATGAAAATGATTTAAATTGAAAGTTGATTGTAATATATAAAATCGTATAAAAACAAAAAAACTGCATTGCAAAAGAACTTCAGTTGGAGTTTAAATAACATACCATAAACGTTAAGATTGACAGTGGTATCCGAGTGGCTGGAATCAGGTAAAGATCCGGAAGTTATTCTGCAAGTGTAGGCAGTATCTTCATTAACAAGAGTTCCGTCTACAGCAAGAGTTGATGTCTGTGTCCCTCCGGAGAAGCTTCCTCGGACAGGGGTGAACTTTTCAGCTGGAACTGGTCCCGTACTAGTCTGCCAAGTTACTGTTACTGTTTCAGTTATTCCGATGATAACACAGGATATTGTTGTTGCAGAGCCTTTCTTCACTTCTTTGTTTACCGATTCAACGTCTGAAGTAAGTCTTGGTAATGGTACATTTACAAATTGTGCAATTATGACTATCGTGTGATAATTTTATTTCGTCGTGATGATATTGAGTTAAATTGAAAGTTGATTGTAATATATAAAATCGTATAAAAACAAAAAAACTGCATTGCAAAAGAACTTCAGTTGGAGTTTAAAGAACATACCATAAACGTTAAGATTGACGGTGGTATCCGAGTGGCTGGAATCAGGTAAAGATCCGGGAGTTATTTTGCAAGTGTAAGCAGTATCTTCATTGACAAAAGTTCCGTCTACAGCAAGAGTTGATGTCTGTGTCCCTCCGGAGAAGCTTCCTTGGACAGGGGTGAACTTTTCAGCTGGAACTGGTCCTGTACTAGTTCGCCAGGTTACTGTTGCTGTTTCAATAATTCCGATGATAACACAGGATATTGTTGTTGCAGAGCCTTTCTTTACTTCTTTGTTTACCGATTCAACGTCTGAAGTAAGTTTTGGTAATGGTACATTGACAAATTTTACAATTTATAACACTCGTGTGATAATTATATTTCGTCGTCATGAAAATGATTTAAATTGAAAGTTGATTGTAATATATAAAATCGTATAAAAACAAAAAAACTGCATTGCAAAAGAACTTCAGTTGGAGTTTAAATAACATACCATAAACGTTAAGATTGACAGTGGTATCCGAGTGGCTGGAATCAGGTAAAGATCCGGAAGTTATTCTGCAAGTGTAGGCAGTATCTTCATTAACAAGAGTTCCGTCTACAGCAAGAGTTGATGTCTGTGTCCCTCCGGAGAAGCTTCCTCGGACTGGGGTGAACTTTTCAGCTGGAACTGGTCCCGTACTAGTCTGCCAAGTTACTGTTACTGTTTCAGTTATTCCGATGATAACACAGGATATTGTTGTTGCAGAGCCTTTCTTCACTTCTTTGTTTACCGATTCAACGTCTGAAGTAAGTCTTGGTAATGGTACATTTACAAATTGTGCAATTATGACTATCGTGTGATAATTTTATTTCGTCGTGATGATATTGAGTTAAATTGAAAGTTGATTGTAATATATAAAATCGTATAAAAACAAAAAAACTGCATTGCAAAAGAACTTCAGTTGGAGTTTAAAGAACATACCATAAACGTTAAGATTGACGGTGGTATCCGAGTGGCTGGAATCAGGTAAAGATCCGGGAGTTATTTTGCAAGTGTAAGCAGTATCTTCATTGACAAAA